TTCAAATATACTTTTTATTACAATACTTACGTGAATATGATTTTGAGAATATCACCAAGCACACCGTTTTCGCTTAAAGCATATTTTGCAGCTTGACAAATTACTTTCAACAAACAATCTTGTCCAGGATAGCCCAGACTGTTGTAAAACACACCAATGTCATTATTTCACACGCTTGTGCGATCTATCGGATTTCTCGAGGATATTAATACATGAATATGGCGGATCAGTCATTCATTTTTCATCTACTAATGCGTCTCGTACTGTGAGCAACCTGTTAGCTTTATATTAATCATTTGCGTGTATCGAGAGGTACACATGTAAAGCGTGTGATTTGCCGAGCAAATCGAGAGGATATTCAACTCTATTGGAAAACATCTCTCGTTTTCTTAAAAAAATTCTTCACTTATTACTTTCTCTTTGTCTTACTTTAAGAAAATATATATGTATAAAATAATATCTTCAGAACAAATAATTTGTCATTCTCTATCATTTTTTATAGATATTCTTTGCCTCGAGTATTCCCGTAGACATTCCCGACAAATCTGTATCGATGTCGTTTTATTTCGAGGCGAATTACGGATTGCCAAGCTAATGAAATTCCACTTACTACTATTACGACGAAAGTTATCTCGAAAAACGAAGTCTCAGTCGTCAACTGATATACAGCTTGTTCACACAAACTTGAAAGGTAACAAACTGGAAAGGTAACAAAACTGTGATTAAAACCACACTCACGCAGATATATTCTCTACCAACACGTATGTATTTCGAAACCTTACTTCTAATTACACGTGTGATTGTTAAGCTCAAAATATACGCTCGTAAATAATGACATTGGTGTGTTTTACAACAGTCTGGACTATCCTGAACAAGATTGTTTGATGAAAGTAATTTGTCAAGCTGCAAAATATGCTTTAANCGAAAACGGTGTGCTTGGTGAGATTCTCAAAATCATATTCACGTAAGTATTGTAATAAAAAGTACATTTGAAAGTTTTGATGTAAAAAGAAATAAAGAGAGATGTCGATATAAATTACAATCAACGAACAAATAATGTAAAACAATTAAATTTGCATTGCAGACCTTCCACGTCGAGAAGCGAGGAGCTTCCGAATGACATCACGCAAGCTGAGCACGAGCAACTTTGCGATCAACGTTACGAAAACTGTTCTCTGAATCCTTTAGATTTAATAATAAATAATAATAATAATAAGTCATTACGTCGATTATTAAAAATCTATACAAAATTCGACACAATAATCGATAAGTATTGAAAATAAAAGACTTGCATATAATATTTCGTCCGTTATTTATATTTATTTATGTATTTATTTATTTTTTTATTTATTTTTTTATTTATTTATTGCCTGCCTTTCTCTCTTTATTTTATTTTACACGCTAATAAATAATCAAGCGAACAAGAGCACAAGATTTACGCGCAATAGTCTTGGTCGTTGGAAACTATGGAACGCTTAAAACGAGCTGAAATCGAGCGAAGGTATCAGGGAAGTATGTCTTGCGAGTAGGTATACGCGCCAGCTCCTGGGCGTATACCTTCTCGTATACATATAGCGCGCTTGATCCCACCCCGCGCGCCATTACGGAGCACGCGGGGTGGAGTCAAGCGGCCATTATAGGCGCTCGCGCCTCAGCCAATCACCGCGCGACTCACGGCGCGCGGTGGCGATGGGGGAACGCGTAGCCTCGCCCACTGATACCTCTCGCGTTACCTCTTCGCACAACATGTATTCCTGATACTTTCCTGATATTTTCGAGGCTCTCGGACGACGCGCAACTCACCTTACCCGCTCAATTCTCTTGCTATTTCTTTCTCTCTTGCTTAATTCTCTTACATTCTTTCAATAATTTGTCAATCTTTAAACAATAATTTGTAAATTTATTATAAATATACGTATGTATATAAAACATACTATTTATTATTATTAAGGATTAATAGATGTATGTATGTACAACGTACATGTAAAAATAAACAGTTATGATAATAATGGAAGTAATCAAGTTTGATGCATATAAATTTATAAATTATATATGCGTAATTATATGTATATGCGATATGACTTATAAATTATACATGCGTAACAATAAAACGTAATAAGTAATTATCATATTTTGTATATTGAGAAACAATAGAAAAAGGAACAATAAATTAGATTGAGTTTGCAATGTGGTTTCCAGCACCAAGGGTTTTATTATTCTGTTATTATTACATAATATTGAAAATGTTTCCATTATTTTAATTTGTTTGAGAGTTCCGGGCACACATACTGTATGAATTTATAACAGAAGTTTATATACAAATACATAAACTTTATATATCTTTTTGATAAATATATATTACATATTAAATATATATTACATATTTATATATTTATTTTATTTTTATTATCCTTGTGTCTATAAAATGTTACCATTAATGATTAAACTTTTGCAAGTATAAGTTCAAATATAACGCAAATGACACACAACTTAATATATAAAAACCAAAACAAATACCTTTTACAAATTATTCTAATTATAAACTTAAAGCAAATTATAGATAGAAAAGCTATACATTTTATCACCTGCAAAATATATAACACAAAGAAAATTACGTATTTGTGTTACTACCGGCAATTTTTTCTTGGCTGTCGATACACTTTAAACATGCACTTAAAAAATATGTGCACGTAACATAAAAACCAAATTCAGCCTTTAATTATTTCAATTCGATAAAATCTTACGTATATAACATATACATTGCAACGTTAGTAACCATTCTCACAATCAGTCTCTTTTTTTAACTCTATTAGTCTCCGTAAACATTTTGTGCTAAAATAAATTGGTAAATGTTTAGCCAATTGAAGTTTTACATAAAGAAAGTGACCATTTAAATTCGTGCACATAGCACAGAATAGAACCGCACGCTGTGGACATATCGCACCGACATGTCGCTCGTGGACTGGCTGCGTAGTTCCAATGTGTACCATTCGTGGACATGCGGTAGTTTACAGAACGGAAAAGTGATTACACATTTTCTTATGGACCTGGCCGCTCTCAGTCTTCTCTCTGGTGCCACACGTCACGTCACGTGACGTTAGCGCACGTTCACGTCACGTGTGCTATAGTTTTTAAATACCAAGGTAAGATTTTGGAATGTATTCCCAGGAGACTAGGTCGTTCCTTACAAGTATATACGTCTCACGGGATTTTCTCGGGTTGCCAACATCCGGGACGGATTCGCTCGGTTGTCTGAAACTGATTGATCTGTCATTTCAGCAAAGTTGTTCGTTTGAAGATGTGACCGTACCTTTACGTCCTCCCATTTGTCACGTCATGTGTAACGCGCAAGTTCGTGGCGACATTCCGCACGCACGGAACTGAAATGTTAACATGGTGATCCGTGCGGTAAACCCGACGAGTCGCGCCCCGTGGAGGTGCTTTCGTATTGCGATCGACGCGGTGAAGAAGGTCTATTGACGCGCATAAAGCGCGCGTTACCTCACGCTACGTAAAAGTGCGACAGAAACGTTTCTTCTTTTTCACGCCACGATGTCGGTAAGTTACGCCAGGATGAAGTCGTGTTGCGAGGCGTCGTTAACATCGACAGAAACGACGACGACAACAACGACGTCCTCGTCCTTGTCTTCGTCGAGCAACCTACCCAGACGAGCCGGCGACGAAGATGACTGGGAGATGCAACTGGCGTTTCGCAAACCCCGTCACAATGCCACGTTCGAAAGCGTGAATTGCATCAGTCAAACTTGGAGAATGAAAGAGCGGGTACGTCTGAAAGACATCGAGGAACTTGAATATATATATATATATATAATTATATATATGTATACATGTATATGTAAAAAAAGAATTTCAACAAAAAATCCATGTTGAAACGCACAGACACAACTTTGACAGAGGAGCGAGCACGCTTGTCATGATTTTATATATGAAAAATCCGCGTGTAAATAAATCGATATGGCCGCGCACGTGTTTTTTCTATTTTTTTTTTGGTTTTGTTTAGATGAAGACTGTGAGCGTTGCTCTGGTGCTGTGCCTGAACGTCGGTGTCGATCCGCCGGACATTGTCAAGACGCAACCGTGCGCACGGTTGGAATGTTGGATAGGTAATAACAAACCTCATCTTACATGTTTATTTACATCTGTCTCTCCTGCGCGTTATTATGTAATTTGTATCTGTTCTTTGTAGTCGCGGTTTCTTCATTCCTTTTGTTCTCTCTGAGGTTTTACTCACGTCATCTTTGTTTCATTTTGCGAGCGCAAATAAGCGTGATGTGTTGTAATTACGTACGCGGAAAGGAACATCAGATCTGTAACAAATTTGAGGTTAGACATGTGTGTCGAACGGAGCAATTTTCCGGCATAAAGTGTCAACATTTTGTACCGTCCTTGCAAGGTCAATAATAGATACATTGTCGGTATTGACAAGTATATTTGGTGATAACGACAATGTCCAGCGATTATAATATTTTGAATTTATATTTTATTACAACATTATAGCATTATAATATTGGTCAGCAATGTAACAATCCTAAATAATATTGGGATATGAGCCAATATTGATGATTGGTCGGTATTATTAACTTTTTAAAGTCGGTACAAATGTTTGACAGATGGGTGTTTTTTTTATCAAACATTTAAATTAGACATATATTAAAATTATGTGATAAAAAATATTTGAAATGTTTATGACAATTATTTTTAATAAGAAAAGATACAGATTTGAAGTTGAAACTAAAGATCAGAATTGTGAAACTTATTGTGAAAGAATAGGACTATGTTTTAATATAAGAACAGAGATCTGGCAAAGGAGAGAAGAATTGTTAAGTTGCAACATTTTTTTAAATAGATGTAAAAAACCATGTATCAATCTGTCATGATATTTGCAGTGATAGCCAGACACTACATTTAATTTTTCAAATCAATCATCTTTCTAGACCCTTTATCAGTGAGTCCTCAGAAAGCTCTGGAAACTATAGGCTCAAATTTGCAAAAGCAATATGAACGATGGCAACCCAGAGCTCGCTACAAGCAGAGTTTAGATCCGACTGTAGAAGAAGTTAAGAAATTGTGCACATCGTTAAGACGAAATGCTAAAGAAGAAAGAGTTTTGTTTCATTACAATGGTCATGGTGTGCCCAAACCCACTACCAATGGAGAAATATGGGTATTTAATAGGGTCAGTAGAAGAGATCACTAGTTATGTTTGTTGTATATCTAATAACACAACTCTTGTGATAATTTGTTTTTGTACAGACTTACACACAATACATTCCATTGTCAGTTTATGACTTGCAAACTTGGATGGGTGCTCCTAGTATTTATGTATATGATTGTTCCAATGCTGGAATTATTGTGGAATCTTTTCAGCAATTTGCTGATCAGCACGAGAAGGAATATGAGGTAAAAGTTATATGTAAAACACTCGAAAGAAAATCTCTCAAGTTTTTGCGTGTGTATTTTAAAACAACAAGTACGTGCAAATTTGCAAATTTGTTGAACAAAATTCTCTTTTTTGCAGATGGAAAAGCAACAAAGTCGCGCTACCGGTGTAGCATGTCCCGCGGCTCCATATTACAGGAACTGTATTCAATTGGCAGCATGTGCCGCTAATCAGATTTTACCTATGAACCCAAATTTACCTGCCGATATATTTACATCGTGTCTTACCACACCCATAAAAATTGCAATACGCTGGTAAAAATATAAGCAAACAAAAATAAAAAAAAAAAAAAAAAAAAGAAATCTGTATGCATTCAGCGTATGATATGGTTTTTTTTAATAGGTTTGCCATGCAGCCTACGGCTAAATTAGTACCCAATATATCACTTGATCTTATTGACAAGTAAGATTACACATACAGACATATATTTACATATTTAGTTTTGTGTTTTATAATAATAAAAGTAATGATAAATAAGTGTGATTTTGTGCTTGTTGTTATAGAATTCCTGGACAATTAACCGATAGAAGAACAATGTTAGGTGAGCTTAATTGGATTTTTACCGCTATCACTGATACGATAGCGTGGAATACTCTACCAAGAGGTGAGCCTCACTTTGGTCATTCAAATTTTATGCGACAAAAATCGAATAACTAAAGTCCAAGTATTGTTATCTTTCTTATTTATATAGATCTATTTCAAAGATTGTTCAGACAAGATCTACTGGTTGCCAGTCTCTTTAGAAATTTCCTTCTAGCAGAGAGAATACTCCGTTCTTACGATTGCACGCCGATCTCTTCCCCAAAATTACCGCCGACTTATCAGGTAAATCAGTAGATCAAGTATGTCGTTATTTACATACATTGTATTTGAAAAAGATGATTTTTTCAAATACAATGCATAAGTGCCCTCGAAATATCTTTCGCCTATTCAATTGTTTTTTAATTTGAGATAAAACGATTAAATATGCGCACTTTATCTCTAGCATCGTATGTGGCTAGCCTGGGACATGGCTCTTGATTTGTGTTTGGCACAATTGCCAACTGTTCTGGAAAATGAAGATCGATACGTGCATTCGTCATTTTTCGAAGATCAGCTTACGGCTTTCCAAGTGTGGCTCAACATAGGATCGAGAGCACGCAGTCCACCCGAACAACTTCCGATCGTTCTTCAAGTGTTACTGAGTCAAGTTCACAGATTGAGAGCGTTAGAATTGTTAGGACGCTTTCTCGACTTGGGCTCGTGGGCCGTAAATCTGGCACTTAGTGTCGGTATCTTTCCATATGTTTTAAAGTTATTACAAAGCAACGCCAAAGAGCTTCGACCACTGCTTGTTTTTATATGGGCAAAAATTTTAGCGGTAGATAATGTGAGTTTTTTGCAATTATATTATGAGCTGTAAATTATATATATGTGTGCATATATATAGATCTTATAATGGTTATTTATTTCTAGTTTTATATGATTGTATCAATTGTAGACTTGCCAAGCAGACCTTGTGCGCGATGGCGGACATAAATATTTCTTATCTGTACTTCAAGATACCTCTATTCCGGTAACTAATTTTTTTCAGCAATTCTGCGCTCGAATCGCGACAACGCTAAACTTTCTTTTAAACAAAAAAATATATTTTTACGATTTCAGAGCGAGCATAGAACGTTAGCTGCATTTGTATTGGCCAGTATTGTAAATGACTATCGCCCCGGTCAAGTAGCCGCAAATCAGGGCAATCTTGTTTCTATATGCCTGGAGCAATTGTGCGACACAAACTCTTTGCTACGACAGTGGCTTTGCTTGTGTCTGGCGCGGCTTTGGCATAACTTCGACAAGGCAAGATGGTGTGGTGTTCGAGATATTGCCCATGAAAAGCTATTTACATTATTAAAGGATCCCGTACCAGAGGTGATGAGATCAATTATCACTTATTCTGTTAATATGGTTTTTATTTATTATATTAAACATAATCAGATTCGTGTCGATTATTGAGTTAAATTTTTCATTTATTAAGGAAATTTATGCTGTTTATATTTCTAAGTACTGCAGTATGACTAAAGACCAAAAGGCTTATTACACTTCGAGTGAAAATATTGTTTACACTTTCTCTAGACCTTTTACTCATTTCTGTTTTAATGACACAGATGTTCTCTGTACAGGTCCGGGCAGCTAGCGTGTACGCATTGGGCACATTTATAAACAGCGTTACAACGAGAAGCGAACATGCCAATAATATTGATCAGATTATTGCTATGACGCTTATCAATACCGTTTCTTATGACATGTGTCCGTTAGTTAGAAAAGTAAGATTAAGATTGATCTTGAGAGACGCATCGGAAAACTGCATACATATTCTCACGTCAGTGCATTTTTTGCCATTGCAGGAATTAGTAGTAGCTCTTCAATGGATGGTGCTGCATTTCGAAAATTCCTTCGTGACACTAGCTATAGCCGAGGAAAACAGTCGGAAAGATCTCATTGTAGAAACTTTATCTCCATTTAGCGGCATGAGACGCATCAACTCGCGCGACAGATTGAAGATGTTGTCTCCCAACAATACATACACCGTGGAAACGACCGACGGATTCGGACCGCAAGATCGCATCAAAAGGGTATCGTCTTCGTCATCCATTAGCAGTTTAGGTAAGCCAATAGGATATCGATTTGAGAAACATCGAGAGAACCAGTGAAATATTTCCAAAGTCAATTACAAATATTATCAGTTAAATATCTTCTAAGCACTTCTGAGGACCGAACAGTTACTTGCATTTGATTCTTTGGCCAGGTAATAATTGGGAGTTCGTGAGGAAACCTTGCGAGTCACTTGGTAATAATGATTGGAAGTTTCATTGCATGTTCGTAACGTAACTAATTCTTTTCTTTTCTTTTTTTTTTTGCAACTGTGCAGTTTGCACCGATAGGTTTAAAATGCTTATTGCACAAGCTTTGTATGATAGCGACATTAAGTATCTCTTTTGTTTCTTTATAAAAGTAAGTTTTTCTTGCAATAGCGACACACGTTAAATGTTACGAATTTATTCGTCGCAGGTCACAATTCTCTGGGAAATTTACCGAGTCTTTCCTATGGTAGTGTATACATGAAATTGTGGCATGGACTATGCAATCTTGACAACGATCCTCATCCGGCAGTGAGCGCTATGTCACAGAAAATTACCAATCATATTCGTAATAAGGTATCGATATCCGACACGCCGCTAAAAAGTTTAACAAAATTTGGTTACGCCGAGTTTGATCGTACGCTACAATTTTCAGATGAAGATATCTTCAGCATCTAAAGAAGTAATCGAGACAAAAATCTCTTCGTCACTGTCTCTCCCACCGTCTCCATCAAATCGAACTGGTTATTTAAGGTTGGTTATAATTTTATATAAACTGGTATCTCTTCTATATATGCATTATATTTCGACTATTCTCATTTTATTTAGCAACAGTAAAGGAGAGTCACCACCACCTGCTGTCAATTCCGGAACAGATTTGTTGCGTTCCTCAAGAGTTTTGCCGCATGGTCGTACGAGGAAACTCGTTCCCAACACGGTAAGTGTCTTCTTTTTTTTAATACTTATTCTAAGGGTCTCATAAATAAAAGATGCTCTAAATCTAGACAATATAAAGTGTACGATGTTACGCTGATAATATATTTTTGTTTCACATGTGTAATTTTCATTATGTACAGATATCTGAGGAAGCGGATGAAGTGCCTGGAGCCAAAACTCCATTGACTGTCTCTCAGTTTGTCGAATGGAGTTGTGCGCAATTTGCTCAACCTGCTAATTCGGAAGATGAGATGAACGACGTAGAAAGCAGACCGTATCTCGAGCGAGAATGGCGGTGAGAAACATGAATTTTTTGAATCTAAGAAAAGTTCTAATTGAGGTCTTGGTGTTTTTATATAAAATGTCACTTTCGACTGTCACAGATTTATACGCAACGTGAAGCAGAGGCAAGATGCGAAGGAGGAACAATTACGCGCGCCCTTAAACAAGATGGAATCACAAGTATATCATGCAAGATGTCCTTACTCGCCTCAAATTCTGATGTTTCATCCATTTGAGCCGCATTTGGCCGTGGCGTTGAAGGATTATTTCGGGTATTTGAATTTTCTCTCTTTGTGAAAAGTGTTCGATAAGAGTAACGTTCATTTAAAAACACAAAAATTTCAGAGTATGGGACTACCAGAATGGCCAGAAGTTAACTTACTACGCAAGTCGCGGAAATAAAGTAAAATCGCTCATTACAGCGCTGGAATTTATCAACTCTCACGACTTGAGCTTACTGATGGCTGCCTCCGACGACGGTTCCGTGCGAGTGTGGAAGAATTACAACGACATTATAGGTCGCGATCCAGTTTTGCTCACAGCCTGGCAAGCACTGGCAGACGTGCAGCCCGCAACTAAAACTTCTAGCGGTACGGAAGCCTTCAGTTTGCTTTAGGCGAGAGAAAAAGGAGCCGTAGTTGATTTTCTACTTGCCGGTTCCGGCAGTAAGAGAGTATAATATATAACAATGAAAACTCTCTTTCTTCTCTCGCAAATTATTAAAGATCTTTGTACGTATTGAAAAATATATCTAAAGGTCAGTATATGAGTTATTTTAGGTAATGTGTTTTGTATTTTTCTTGCAAATATGTATATAACTTACTATATTATTTGAGCAATAATCTGATTAATTTTACTACTGTAATGAATAATATTCGACAATTTATATGTTCAGCGGCAACACGAGTGGTTACCAAGTGGGAACAAAAATCGCTTACTCTAGCGGTAACAGGCGACGTTCGTATCGTGAGACTCTGGGACGCGGAGACCGAATTGAAGAAGCAAGATATACCAACTGGAGCTGATTGTTGTACTACTTCTATTGATCTCGACGGAACAGGTTAGTTTGAGATTGAAGAAGCGACAGTCTGTATTTCTTGTATATCAATCAATATATATGAGCGAATTTTTTTATATTTTTATATTATATGTTGTTTACTATATAGATGATTATAAAATAAGCGCACGATATTCATCTAAAATGTATATATCTTTTTAATTACAGGTGCGCTAATGGTACTAGGCTGTGGCGACGGATCGGTTCGATTGTTGGACCGAAGGTTACCTCCTGCAGAAGCGAGAGTTATGATTTGGAGAGAACATAGTTCTTGGGTATTGGGGACATTTCTAAGGAAGTCCGAGGAATCTACGCCGCAATTGTTTACTGGATCTTCCTCAGGCGACATAAAGATATTCGACCTCAGACAAAATTCTTCTGTGAACACAATTCAAATAACACCGGGCATGGTGGCATTAACAGTGCACGAAAGAGCTGACATTTTTGCCTGGTGAGCATAATCTCTCTACTCTCCTGTAATTTTTTTTTTTTTTATCTTGAAATATAATTAAGTCGCTTTTTTTTGTGGTTTTTAGCGGCACCACCAATCACTGCATCAGCATTTTTAACATAGCCGGTCAGCATCTCAACACAATAAAATTCCATGAAGGTTTTATGGGTACGCGCCTCAGTCCCGTGAGTTGTCTCAGTTTTCATCCGTATCGTGTAAACATGGCAGCCGGTTTTGTGGACAGTACTTTCTCGGTTTATGAACAACGCAGGTGACTACTAGAGATGGAACTTGTGTAAGATCTTTGTAGAATTTTATAGATTTATATAAAAGCGCTTGATAGTATTGTGCGTTGCAATACAATTGACAAAAAATTAAGCCTGTAGACCTCCGCGTTTTTCGCGAAATTCATTGTTTTCTACGACAAAGTGAATACTTTTATTTTTCTTCGATTTCTCATCGCTTAAAAAAACAAAAAAAAAAAAACAAAAAAATGGTCTTGCCTGTTAAAGTTTCTTTTTTTGCGCAAGGTATGCAACATGGTTCTAGCTCTTTTGTGATAAAATTGTGCATTGCAAGTGAGCGGATTTACCAAAATACACACTTTGAAGTGACCAAAGAACAGTCTAAAGATTACTTTGATCTTGATCTTTAACAAGTATATTAAAAAAAAAAACGAGACTGTTAAAGAAGTTCCCGGTAAAATATATTAATGCATAATAGAGCGTAAATGCATTGTGATAAAACGTTAAGTAAGTTCGTGTACGCAAGAGTGACTGTGAAAGAGAGAGAGAGGGAGAGAGTGACATTTAACGATTGTTGTTTTACTACTACAATCTATGCGACAAAGTAATCTCAACTATTTTTTCGTGCCATGCAATATCTACTTCTGGATTTAAGCTGTATATAACTCCGTATACAGTTTTTTTTTTTTTTTATGTAAACGGATATATTTTAATTAATTGAAATGTACATAGCTCGAATCGATATAAGAACGTGTATGGACATACAGCTCGCAATATGTGTGCATTTTTTATACACTACACGGGAGAGAAAGTTGACAGAGTGCTAGATTTCACGTTTAGGTCAATATTTACTTCTCCAGAGATAATTTTATCTGTCTGATTTTTGTTAAATATAATCTTTCCGTCGTCCTGTTCCTGACCAATGTAGATGACTCACCAATGGTGTGGTCGTTACTGATATCGTACAAACTGCGCATAAGTACAATTTTGTATAAATAGCAAAATGATTCAACGAACCGTATTTGTTACATTAGAGGCGTTTAAGTGGCAATATTATAATCGAGAGATACGTTTGCGTGTGCAATATTCATGATGAGTTATAAGTAATGACATAGTTACAAACAAAAAATACTGCCGAGTTTTTCCATTTCTCACTTCACATCGATTCCCGCTTCTCACGTTTCTCCTTTCGTGTTGCGCGTATATTAACGCATGCGTGCACAGAATGACCTGTGCTTATGCGCAGTCCAGTTTCCGCACGCATAAAACTATTGTTTAATCGAGAAGTGCAGGAGAAATGTGAACAATGAGGGTTAATGGATCTCCCCGGCGGGGAGAAATAGAGGGAACCCACACCGCGCTGCGTAACTAATTATTTCCAAACACGGAACTGACCAAGCGAGAAAACTGCGTTTATTTTAGAAAAAAACAGATTCAATTTACGTCGCAACGAAGCATGAGAGTAATAGTTAAGGTGGTTTTTACTAATTTTCAACTCAGATAGTCCAGCCATGTGTTAGAGCATTAGCGTCTGTTACACAAATTGCGCGAAATATCTATTGTGACTTTTTATCACACTCTTCTGCACGTCTAACGACGAAACACAATCCTAGCGGAATATCAATATAGTAGAATTAACTCCAAACTGGAGAGTTAGACTAAATTTTATTAGTTCAACTCTTTAGTTCAGTAGAATTACGCTTGCGATATCAACTGAGTTATGGATTAATGACAAAGGTGTTTATACACATTAGAACTTATTTAAATTATCGGAGAAATGGAGAGGGGAAAGGGAAGAAAAAAAGTTATATATCACGATTTGTTTATCTTCGTCTCGTTCCGTTTGCGGTCGCTGTCGTGTGTGACAATTCGCCGATATTTATAACGACGGAGAGCAATGTAGCTTCTTTATGGTGCATAACACGTACAAGACAAGGATTGCATAAAAACAAAACAAAACAAAAAAAAATATTGACGACACACAATCGAGGAACAGTTTAATTTCTCGTAACAATTTAGACACTTCATTGTAAATATGTAATATACAAAAAAAAAAACGGGAAGAGGGGAAGAAGATGCGGAAGATACACCTCTGTCTCTTTGTATTGCACGCTGGGCGATATCTCAGTGCTGATATCTATCAGTACCGGCAGTGAACGCAGCCTAAGTGTGCGTAATATAGGGAGTGGTTGATAGGACATATATGTGTATCTATATATATATAAAATTGTGCGCTAATTGCAGATATATTGTAAATAGATGCTAAAACAAAACAGTGCCGGATGTACTTAAGCGTCTGTTGTCGATTGCGGAGGTAATTACCGCGCGTGTTTCTTTTTGTTTTAAAAAAAGCAACTTTTTTACTCTGATTTTGTTGCTCACACCGTCACTCCCTACGTATAATCCCGTAACTCCAAAACGCAAATTTTAGAGGAGAGCAGTTTAAAAGTATAAAGCTTCATATGTTTCCCTATATAGTTAGGGATCTTTCGGTTTCAAATTTGTACCTTATTTATGAATATTTTTTTTTAATATTTGGTGACCATAAAGAACATGACTTTCTAAGTGTCATTATGCAATAAACTGAAAATCCCATATGTGACACTTATGTAATTATACGTAGGGAGTGACGACACGAATTTCAACATATTAACGTTATATGCACTTTTGGTCTCTTTTTGCATTTAAAAAATTTAAAAGGTTTTTACACATCAAATCACGTCATTATTGTTTATTATTATTATTGTTGTTATTATATGTATCTAAAATCAGCATTTGTAACTGTTTCCTGTAAGAACGATCGTAAGAGAAAATATATAAAATCGCGAATATAACGGAATGAAAAGGAACGTACGCGGAAATTGCGCGCGATCGAATTTCCGTCGCCGTGCGTCTAGATCGAGTTTCGCTCTAGAGGGGAAATTCATCATGGAGTTATTCCGACCGACTAATTTGCTTTTCTCCCCATCTCCCGTTGTTAGACGTTCGAATAATAAATGTCCGGAACGACGATCAGAAAATTTCCGATGTTTCGCAAACGCTCGCGATAAGTCAATTTCCATTCGGTTGAGCGAAAGAGAGAATCCGATTTTGAGAAAAAAATTTCACAAATGAAAAAGAAGTCTACAATAGAGGAAGTTTTCTGTGATGGTAGTCACAAACTGATTGCTTCGATCAGTCATTAGAAACTCGCGAGTTTTTTTCTCGCTCATTGTCGTCAAACTTGAATAAAAAAAATTAATAAAAAAAAAAAAGCTCTCCTTTGCCGAATGCGAGATTTGGACGTCGCGCTTTTACGCGCTACCTAGACGCTAATTCAGTCGTTCGGGAAGTTGTGACGCTCGCAATCTCGAACGACTTTTTTGTTGTATTATGAGCAACGTAACAAAGTGCGTTTATGGCATCAAAAGCGCGCTGCCCAAACGCAGTTCCGATGATATGCGAGAGATTCGACAATGTGTACATATATATATATATGTTACATGTGCGTACAGTAGATCCTGGATATATTTCGGTCTTCAAATCTAATTAACTCTCATTAAATTCGCGATGCGAGATTATTTACGTTTGGCGAATTCTGTTCTTTATCGAAAAGCTTTGTAAAACAACGCGACAATCGTTCGGAAGACAAGTTCGCGATTGTCCAAGGTTTGCTGTACATGGAACGTTTATATAGCAGTTACACACACAGCGGTGTTATACACATGTATATGAAGTGACGCGAAGAAAAACCGTGCTATCGTATTGTCAGCTAGCAATAACAATTATCGAGAAGGGCGAATAAAGCGACACGAGAGTGGACTGTTTGAAGTGAACGACGAGTAGTCACACGAGAGAGACTTGGCAATTGTACATTTGTGTAATTATGTAATCGCCTTGTAGCAAAAAGAATACGATCACGTTATGAGGTCGCGCGATCCTGTGTAAATATCAGAAAACTCGCAAGCACACACAATCTTTCTGTTTTTCTTCATTCTTTTTTGCTCCTCCTTCAATTCCCATTCATTTGTACGTTCCCGAACGAACGGAGATTTGTGCAATTGTAAAAAGTAAAAAAAAAAAACACCAACAGTCGTAAATTGTTATTGACATCCAGTTTCATCATCTCTCCGATTAACTCGATTGACCGATTAGGGTGTCAGTCGCGATTGGTCAATTCTGCTAAACGACTAATGCGATCGACCGGATTCTCGATGAAATAATAGGGCCGATTTGTGTCCGGAGAATCAGAGTTGAATGTACATCTATACAGTTTTTACCACATCGTCAATAATTTGAAGGATATTTAAAAAAATTACTATTTTATTAAATAATTACTTGACACAAAGCTCTTGATAAAGATTTTTATATGAAAAATATTTCATATAAAAATAACTTCAAGCCTAATTTATGTTTAGATACGAATTCACAAAAATTCTCATTAGTTAATATTTCACACTTATTTTTTTTCTCGTCAAAATAAAAGAACATTTTTTACAACTGTAACGAAATTTCTGAAATCCGTCACTTTGACGAGTTTTCGATTGTTTCTGGTGTTACGACGACGCGAATTGAAATTGCGCAAGTGAAACATCTGTTCATTCAGCGAATGTATTAAATTTTTTTCTCGATCACTTGTTCGCACGCGTGTCAGTGCGTGCGAACGTGTACACAGTGTACGCGAGATAAAAATGTATGTGTTGCTTCAACCAACGCGAGATTTTATTCAAATGCGAATGCTTTTGCGACACAAATGTCTCAATCAAAGACAATAGCAAGCGCGATGCTGCGAGCGGCAAGTTTCGAGTTGAAACCTATCAACGATAAGAACTTTTCCGCGTTATCTCGGCGCGCGCAAACCGATAGGATGTATAATGCAAGACGGCGGTCCCGTTCGACGATGCTACTCGACGTGACGTCGAATAGTTCATCGCTATCAGTAAATCGTGTTTGTGCGTGACGCTATTCCGTGCTATTTTAACGCGCCGCGTGTGTGTTCCACATGGGCTGACGTTGCGTAAAAGACGCGCGAGGTGTGTTTCGCGACACTTAAAATTCTTTAACGAGCTCACGACATCTGACATGTATGTACATGACGCATTTTTGCACACATGGGGGCTGGCACGTACGTGTGTTCTAGTCTCTCGAAGTCTGTACGCACATACTTATTTGTTCATACGAGAGACGCAATTACAACACTGTCGGTTATTCGAAAAAGTTTTACTCACGCTAGACATAAAAAGAATGCGACAAATTTCAGCTCACGTCGGTATCAAATGAAGATTAATTCGATGCGAAATATATTTTTGATTTTACTCGAACCGTGTAAATTAATACGCGTAACAATTTGAATTAGAATTCAATTAGCAAGTTGATATTGTGCTGTGAAACAACAGCGGAAGAGTATTTCCGAGAGTGAGAGTGATCGCGCGAGCGATCTGTGTCACGTGTAAATCTAGACAAGTGACACACCTGCTGTTTAGTCACTGAAGAAACCGTTCTGTCGATTTCGTCGTCGCCTCTCTGTAAACGGAAAAAAAAAACTCGTCGATGTAGCACAGCGCGTAAAAAATTTGCATCTTCATTGTAATGTCGCGTATCTGAGAATCTCGTGCGTGTCAAACGAGATGTTTCTCTCCCTCGTGTACGTTGCGCAGACATCACGTATCTCTTCGGGATGAGATTTTTCCTCGGATAAGATAATCCGCGTGTAAAAGAGAAATTCTAGGCCAGAAGAGAAGGTGCCTCTGACCCGACTTTGTAACACGGTACGTCAAACTAGTAGTTCTTTGTAGCTCTTCGTTACGGACAAAAAAAAACGTCGCCGGTCATCGTCTCGCTTTTCAGGTACAGGAAATATGTAACTTCCGGCGATGACAAAAGCGTGTCTTTAAGAATTTTACTTTTTTGCGACCGATGTGACTCGAATGTGGTTTCGCTCGTTTTTTACGCATCGAAACGCGTAAAACAATGCATTTTTTTCCCTACGTAACATCATTTTTGACCACATGTGTGCGCGACGGTCTCGGACTGCTGCACGTGCTTTTAACGTTTCACGAGACGCGGGTATCACCAGATACAACCGAATCCTCAAAAACCGACGAATTTCTTTTTCTGTAGATTAGACGAAAATTATCAGGATGTTTTTTGTTCAAACATTGAAGACAAAGGTTTGGTTTGACAAATTCTTGTAACTGAAAACTTTTTTTAGTTATGTGATTGTTAAAGACGTTAAGGATGATAACAAACAACAATTTTCTCTCAAATATCCGTCAAACGGTTGACAGGTGTGCAAAGTAAGTGTACGTACAACTCCGGTTATTCCTATCCCGAGCGTTAAGGAGACCTTAATGTGTTTTCTCGCAAATATCCGTGGAGAACGCAGGTGAACACCGGGGCTAATGGACTGTGTCGCCCTATGTTTGCGTCGAAACAATATTTGTTCACTTCCATATTTTACTTTGTGTGTTTTTTATCTCCGCGTCCTTGCTTAAAAAAAAAAAAAATCCAACCGCTCCACCGAATGTTCACCTGCGTGTGTTACATGGAAAGCTTCTTTATTCGATACGTTTGAAAAATAAACTTTGTTTTCGGTATGTCCGAAAAAGAAAGGATCACGCGCTACTGTGTGCATTTGTTTCAAACACAATTTCAAAATTGTAGCGTACAGAAAATTTATATTCGCGTGTGCGTGCATCCGTGTGCGCGCGTTCCTGTTTGAATACTGACGTGGGAGAGAATCGAGGAATTTCTGACGGAAAGTAATACCAGAGAGAAAATCGAGTTGTAAATGGCGCAACTCGCGTGACAACAATTCGCCGTGAGTGTCGCGTGCGGAGCGTTTTTTTTTTTTTTCTCAAAGAGATTACTCGATACTTACACACCCCACGGGGGTTGCTCCATTTTCATGTTTACGTGTCATTAGTCACCCGAGCGATCACGGGGAACACGTGCTTTCGTTACGTGCATTCACGGAACGCTTCGTTCGCAATTTCTAAGCGCAGTCGCCGTTGTATCTCGGATCTCAATCGGATTTGGCGGGGTCTCGCGCAGTCGCTCGGATTTGGAGGAGTCGCGCAGTCGTGAGGGAAAACGTGGTGGAACTAGAGAGGGAACGAGAAAGAGCGAAGAAACGGCGCAGAGCGGAGCAACGAGCGCCTCGGTCAGTCCACTGCAAGACGTCGCGTGGTGCGCGTATGCGAGAGATCGCGGATTTCTCTCATCGGCGCTTACCAAACGTCAAAAACTGCACGCACGCGCGCACGCGTTTTCACGCATGCATCGTTAGCGCGGGACGCTCGCGATCAGCTGCTCCGTTAAAAGTCATCGTCATAGCCGGTCGCAGACACCTGAGCCGTCGCGCGACACTCATCTCTCTCGTAGAGTTCAACATCTTATTGCAACTGTAACTCGACAACGTTGTGACAAGCGGAAGCGCGGCAGCATGGATCGATCGTCCAAGTTGATTCTACGGAAGGTCATAATGGACTTTCTCTGTTTGTTTGTCGGTGAGTAAGAAATTATTATCGTATTGATATATATATATGTATGTACTTGTGTCGACGACGCGAGTATCGATAAATAAATTCAATGTTTCACGGCGGCGGTTGTTGGGGATTGACAGCACGCGCGCGCGGCTTGTTTGATATCCAGGAGCAGCGCGCTAATGGGGTTGCGCGCGATCCTGAAGTTGACAGGTGCATCTGTTCGCGCAAGAGGAACAAAGAGAGAGAAATAGAGAGAGAGAGAGAGCGATGAGACGGTGCCGCCGTACACTTGCGATAAGCGCCGATACGCTCTCTCAAGCTTCCGCGAAACGTTTGTACGGCACGTACTACGTTCCACGAGATACAACTCGTCAAAGAGGAGAAAGGGTGCAACGCACCGTTCCGAAGTACGCGAGATTTTAACCCTCGTCCGCTCCGAGGAATGTAGCAGCACTTAGACTTTAATGGAGAGCCTGCTCCTTTAAATTTACACCGCGACGAGGCTCTACTAATGGTCTGTTTAAATCTTTGTTTGCCCGATATTCAAGTATACTTAACAAGTTCTTTCCCCTCCGAGGATGAAGAAATTCTTGAAACGGCATACTTTGAAGAACATCCTTTATGTCTTTTATATCTCATGTTCTTTTCTGTTAAGGAGTTTCTCCGATCTCGAAAAGAATTGAACGTTCTCGCGCGATATATTTGAGTTTTTTTTTTTTCAAAAATATGTAAAATATCGCGCAGACTTTACGCGTGTAAATAATTTATACGTTTTTTTTGAGAGAGAAACAGGCAGTCACGTGAATCCTTTCTAACAATTAACTTAAAAAAAAAAAAAAGTAACGATACAATCTATTTTCTTATTTAACACGTATAATTTATGGAAATTTAATCGTTTTAAAGTCGCACGGCTTGTATAACGTATCGAGACCGTCGGTTTTTTCGAACTACATAGATTGTGAAATTTTTGGATTTTTTTTGTTCGCAATTACATCGTGTCGCTTCGTTGCGCGCATCCGGGTCATCACGTTGAATTGCAAAATGAAGTCATCGACGTCGTTTGTGTTCCCGATGACTCAACGCGATTCTCTTGTAATTTTTCTACGATAGAAATGTTACAAGAGAAGCAACAAATTACGCAAACAGCTGATAAATTATCAGTCAAACGTCAATGTAATCACGCACCTAAATATTCGCGACTAAATCGCGCGCGAGAGAAACATCCGAGCTCTCTCGTTGTTGTCACGATCATTATTTCTCGCTACAATAAATTATCGTGGCATGACGAGCCACGATGTTACGCGACAATATTTCGCTGTATGCGCACGTATAATGTGCGTCCGTAAACGCGCGCGCTGTGTAACTTTGCATTCGGTGGTGGCTCAATCGATTTCGTCCGTCGACGCCACCGAGGCACCATTTCTGCAATTTGCGAGGACGATACGGCGCCTTTATCTCGTCGTATTTTTTATTGTTTGAAAAACAATAGAACTTTTTCTGTATTTTTTTGTGACATTGCGCTGATTTCGTAGCTTGTGTTGGCGATGCGATAAGAAAAATATAACGTGTCAGTAATATTACGTTATTATAGATAACACATTTTACTCTCTTAACTGTTAAAGCAATTTTTAAGTAATTTTAAAGTAATTTTAAATAAGTTTTATATATATATTACTTTGAGAAAGAGAGAGAGAGAACGTATTCTGAACACTTTTTCGAAGTTCACACATTTTTTTCGACCTGACCTAACGGTATCTAAACAATCAAACGAGCCTAAATCAACTAAAAACCAACTTTAAGCACCGAATTTTATCTTTATATGTGTTCAGAAATCAACTTTGATTCTTTTTTCTAGGTTTTTCCCTTCGAAATGCATTTTAACACTTTACCTCACATTATCGCGCAAACAAATAAGCAAGCTGATGATAATAAAAAAAATATATATATAGTTGTTTTCCTTGGATTTAATGTATTTTTGTCGGAAATTGCGTGAAGCCGCGATTGTGTCGTCGAGTTCTATTAGACGCAACATAAAGACGCGAAATCTGTTATTTCCGGTTGTGTAATATAATTGAGAGAAAAAACCATACGTTTAACAAGCACTTGTTCTAACACTTAAGTTCTTTACTTTGTCGTGCGTGTTTGCGTGTACGAATCAGATATTTTATTATCTCGTAAGACTAGTTTTTCTCTCAAATCGCCAATTGGTGTTTTTTTTTTGTTTGCATATCATCGACGTATAAAATCACGCAAGCCTTTCACGCATATCTAAACTAATTCTCACGCAGGTATAAATAAATGTGCGGTAAGACGTTCTATAGCTCGCCTCATTGCTATCTTGGTCTGCCTATCGTAAGAATTTATTCATCTCCTCTTTCTCTCTCTCTCTCTCTCGTATCTGTGATGCGGTCAAGATTTTGTTTGTGGTGAAGAGAAACCTTGGCCACAAAGATCCCGACTGATATTAATAAATTCTTACGATGGGTCAGTCGCACACACACGCGCGCGCATGTATTCACGCACACATCCACGCGTAAATTGTATAATAAGAGAGGTACACAGACAATCTGTTTAGAATTCAATTTGAGCCTCGGCGGGATTCGTGCGACGTGTTGTGTGAGCGACGGACCTGATTGCCGAAAGGACGAGGCTGTGAAAAGGCCTTATGAGACGCGGTGATTCGCGAGGCGAGAGTGTGCCCCCTATTCGCATGAGATGAGACAAGTGCCGATTAGAAACGAGACGAGGGATCCGAGAGATTCACGCGCGTGTCTCCGCCCTCATGAATATATATATATGTAAATTTATTAAATTAAATTTCCCCTCTCTCTACACACACACACTTGATCGTTTCGATTATCGTGCTGAGGTGTGCTCGAGCGACGAATTAATAAATTTGTTTTTAGAAAGAAAAGAATCGCTCGCTCTCTCTTCTCTCGTTTCTTTCTTTTCTTTGTATCTCGCGTTGGTTGCAACTGAGAAATTTATTAAGTTTGTACTTCACAGTACTTTTCTTATTATACACACGGATTGCTATTTTGTTCGCAGACAGATTTATGCAAGCGATTGTCCGCGTGATATATAATACGTGTTATGCGTATAGAAATAAATTTCTCTCTAACCAACGCGTACGCACACAGACGTACGTCACGTACGTTCTCAAGGAGAGAAAACGCTCGATATCGATGATAATCGAACGATGATTTCATTATCATTTTCAAATGCTTACTTAATGATAGAAAAGATAACGAACGATAATGATGTCGTTACGTAAATTTTAATACCAGTTAATTATTTAATTATTGAAATGATAACTTTTATAATTTTTCTGAAAAATTAACGAAGCTACGTGCATTCATAAAAATAAGTTATTTAAATAAAAAACAATATACTCTTGTAACGTATCTCACTCTCTTTAAATACGACAAGCTTTTGTTCTGAAAACGTAACAAATGAAATAAAAATATTTTTGTAGATGAACTAATAAACAAAAATATCTCAAGTAAAAAATAAGTGAAATTCTGTTTTGTATTAAAGAAGAAAGTACTACGATCGATACAAAACTGAATTATTTGCGATATCAGATTCGCGTTACGAGCAAAATTTCTCGTCCCTTGTTCGCACATCGGACAAAACTTCTTCTCAAAACCACCGTGTGATGATAATATAATAAAACTTGATAAGCATAAACATTAATGTACATAAATTTCACCGTTGCCAAAATATTCTTTTCAGAAATTTTACGGTGTCTGTCACGTGTGTGTAGCTACGGGCACTTTGCACACATTTGCATACCGGGAGGGTTATAGAGAGAGAAAAAAAACCAGATTTATGCGGTGTGTGTTCCACGAGGAAGTGTTTCTTCACACGGAACGAGGATGTTTCGAAACAGGCAACAATTTATTACTCTCTCTCTCTCTCTCTCGTCTCGAGCGTATAAACATCCGTGAAATAACTTTTGCATAATAATCAATTAGGTGTGTCGATAAATATACCAAGCGAGAGACGAGTGGGAGTCGATATAGTTTGATAACAAAAGACAAAATCTCAAATTTATACGCTCGAAAAATATTTCAAGCGATCCATGAGACTAAAATCGAAAAATGATATTCTAGAAGTGCTATCAAATTTTAATTTAAAGATATCATTTTATCTACACGCAGATGAAGATAAGATTGCGAGTTTTCGGTATTTTACATTAAGAACAAATTTGTCGAATTGACAAATCTCAGAAATGCAATTTATCTGAAAATGAATAGTTTTTAACGAGAGAAAAGTGTAAAATAATAAAATTCTTCGTGGCCGAAAGCTTTTTCGTTAATTAATTATGTCAATATCAAAGAAATTAAAACTCAGTTAATGAATAAAACATTTTTTCCATTACTCGTCAAATTGACGAACGTGCGATAAAACTATGATGTAGGTGTTCACGTCGGGTTGTTCTGTTAACGGTCAGATTCGCATTGATGATGAAATAAACGCCTATACTCTCTCTCTTTCTAAATAGGTGTCAAGGCAGATCTAATACCGAATAATAATCGCTCGCTACGCCTATCGTCGTGGAAAACTGCGCAACGCATATATTTATTACATGTGCACATGTATAATATCAGCCATTACGTAACACAGCGACACACATGTGCGAATCTCTTTGTTCTGATATATTATACGTCTATACGATAAATTTTCATACGTTTCTGGTCATTCGAGGAGATGACCTTCACGCGAGTTTTCCTCGTGAAACTTTGTTTCTTCAATTTTTTCGTGCACTCTGACATTTCACAACGCAGTTTCACACGCTGATGTCGCATTCTTTCCTTACCACGTATTGCATTTCATTGAATTGTTATCATATTTTGCGTAACGCTCTTTCGTAAACGTACATTACATCTTATCTTTTCGTTTTGCGTTCACAGACAATTGCAACGATATAAAAATATTTATCGTATTTCAAGATTAATTTTTTTTTTTTTTATGACACAGAAACTCGTTGGTGAATGTTAATTGCCTGAAAATATATAAATGGCCATATACGGAATACTTTTTTTTCAGAACGTCTATGAGCGCCAATAGGGCGATAAAAGGATTAATGAGATTTAAATTGTTTTCAATAACTTAACTTTTTCACAAATATTTAAATTGTATTGGTAAATAACTTCTTTCTGATTTCATCGAAAAAAAAAAAATATGTAACTCATTATGTGACGCTTGTGACGCGCCTGATCAAAAAACGTGTACATATAATATCTTTGCTGATTAACTCTTTGATAAGTGCACTGACAAGCACTTGTACACAAGCCGAGAGTTTTCGGTATAACTAATCAATCGTGTGCAAATAAAACACCGTGACGCGTGTTGTTTTATCTTTTCAAATATTTCCTTGTTTGCTGTGTGTGTTTTTTTTTTTATTTAGATCTTCTTCACGCAAAGCGAATTCCATGAAATGTTGCTCGCAAATCTCAGCCGTGAATTTTCTCAGTCTTCGTCGAAGAGATCGAGATTCTTGACTCTTTTCCGGTCACACATTGCCGGTATTATGCTCGACAGCGTAATAAACGTATGATCCTTTTTTTTGTTATGCAATACAAAATAATAATAAATGCGCAAGGTACCGTAAATACACATTTCGTCTTTTACACTTGACTCCCATGGCTGAAAGTTTTGATGACCGTGTCTACATTTTTTAACACGTCGAATCGTCGTTGCGAGCAAGTTGGCAAGTCGGTTGCACGTCGGTTTGCATACACGGCTAAAATAACGTGATCGCGCAAGCGGTTAGCTCCGACGTGTTACTTCAGTTTTTTTTTTTATGAAAACGGCCCAACGACGCAATTATCTCGATCGCGACGACGCACGGCGATTGCGCCCATAATTTCCAGATAATGGAGTAAACGCGCGTGTTAAATAACCGTGATACGTACGGGTCGACAAGCAGTCCGTAATTTCTCGTCAATTTTCCGCAAACCCGTGCATTACGTATGCGTCGACGACAGGTAGGAGTGCGTTTCGCTGTTAAAAAAAAAAAAAAAAAAAAAGGGAAACGTCATTGGTTTCGAGAGAAAACACGGTTGATAATTAGACGACGCGCAATTTTAACGACCCTTAATAATGGATAATAATAGACCGCTTGACCTCGTGATTGACTGATAAGTACTTCGATAATAGGAGGCATATAGTTGCGCATCAAATGTAACAAGCGCGCATTTATGACAGAAAGGCGACAATCGCAAATAGTGAAAATTGTGGCTAAAATTATTTTACAGTTATGGATAAGAAGTTGTTTGTTGTGTGTCGCGCCATAGTCGTGCTCGATAAAAAGAGAACAAACCAAAATTTCGTGCGATTTACGTAGCGCCACTTGTGCGAAAGTAAATTTAACGAAGTTTAATTAATTTTTTTAAATATGGACACATATGGATTATTGAGAGTGTGTAAATATTATTACAATATGTATCGGGACGTTTCGTGTATAAACATTTTGCGCATCTATGTTTAAGATTAGACGCGTCTGCTCCCTCTTGCTCGTCGTAATGTATTTGAAGAGCCTCCTTTTAATTGTGTAGCCTCGTAAAATTATACGGTATCGCTGGTGCAAACAACTTCGCGAGGTGATCGTCATCATCGACTTATCACCGTGTAAGCGCAGAGAGCGCTCGATTGCGGCGAACTGACTGTGTAGTTGCCCTCGGTAATGAAGGGGTTAAGTAATATCTGGCAAAAAAAAATGTATCTGAACATATGGGGCGCGTAACACGTCGCCGGGGCACGTCACTTTGATTGGCGGAATCACAAACAACATTTTTTTTCTCGCGGCGCACAATAGTCGCGCGGTGCAACAAGTGCAATAAATTGCACGTTTAATTCAGAGACTCTCTAACGAGAGTCGCGAGAGTTTCATCCCGATTGGGTCGATCGCCACAAATGGCGGATTTGATGTTGTTATTTGTCACTGGATCGCGCGTTCCGCAGATTGCAATCGTTTATGCGCTCTGCGTAACTGTTTTTTATTCAATAGGAGTCTTCTTCGAGATTCATGATCTCGACAAGAATAGCAGCGGCCGTTGACCGGTCAACGATGTTATAAAAGCGAGATTGATGTTTTTTAATATTCCCGTTTGTGTTTCAGTGGGAATAACGGTCCTGATGTTCTTCCTATTTGGCAAACCGTACAAACGCGGGTTCTTCTGCAACGATGAGTCACTCAATCATCCGTATCACGATTCCACGGTTACCAACACGATGCTGTACGTTGTGGGACTTTTACTTCCCATATGCACGGTGAGGTCACTTTGTGATTTTTAATAAACACACACGCATGTACGGTGATTTACTTGACAATCTACTGTTAATTATACTTGAGAATCTTTTCTCATTGCAATCGTTCTCTTCTCTGCGCGTGTTTTTCTGTATTTAAATTGCAAGAATTTTTAATTGAATACGAAAATTGCACGTAAGGAACAATTCGCAAGCGTCCGAAGACTCACGTGAAAGTGACGTTAATGGTTGAGAAATATTCTTCGCTGTGCCAGAGAAGAAGACGAGAATGAAAACGCGTTAGACGCAAGCAAAATTGAACGTGTTCAAATCTATTGCGCGTTCGTACGAGCGCGCGAGAGTTTGTACGCGCGCACAAAGTGGCGGTGCCGACGCTTTGAGTTTCCTCTGACATCGGAGTGTTCCCGGTGGCAGATGGGATCGCGAGAGAATTGAAGGACCTGTCGCGTGCCACTTTCAAGACTCTCGGTCTTTTGCCCCTCGTGAGAAAAGAGACGCACAGGAGAAAGAGAGAACCGCGGTGGTTCCGGTCTAAGAATACGGAGCACACGCGAGCGCGAATTCGTTTGTGTTGCGCCGTCTGAACACGCGGATCGGTTGAGAGAGCGGCATTCATCGGGTTTCGGTGGTCATGGGAATTGATTCGCGTTATCTGAGGAAGCAATGCAGAGTGTGTGTGTTTTAATTTGTGTTCAAATATTCTCTCGTCGACCAAATATTTAAAAAACTTCATACACAAACATGAAACGTTTAGGTTCTGAAAAATTTTATTGTTTAACAGACAATTGATAAGCAATTCAACGGAACAAGACAAAGTTTAACGGAATAAAAGAAAACGTCAAAACAAGACAACATATTTAATTAGCAATTGTTTATTAATCGTCTTAGTATATCTATATCATAATCATGTTTATGTATAAACTTTTTTTTTAAATGTTTTAAGAATATGTCTGGAATAGTTGACACCCAAAACATATATCAATACAGTCTGTATACGCGCGTCGAATAATTATCTTTGCCGAGTCTCTATAAAAAGGTGTAAAAAAAAGTAAAGAAGATTCTTCCTCTTCTGCAGTTTCTATCATATTTGAATCTTCAACCCGATCGAGTAAGGACAAATTGATTGATTGATTGTCGGTCGCGATGTAGAAAGCGGAATGCGCTCGTGATTCGATCTGTGTCGATTACTTATGTATCTGCGTGCGAGAGATTTTTTTCTTATCCTTTTTGATACGCCGCCGTCACCGCCGTCGTCGCACGTGACTCTTATGGGAGTGACGGGGAGTACATTTCTATGAGCAGTTTGCCCCCCCTATTTATAGATTTCGCGTATTTTCTCTTGCTCGAATGTTTAGAAATCTGTGCCAGCTAGGTTCAACGAATGCATATCGAATTCCCGCCGTTCTATGGATTCTCGCGCGTCACTCTCGCTCACGGATTCCGAAACCCATTACTCCAAATTTAACTCTCGTTACCGTACACGTTCGCGCAAGAAAGATACAAACAACAAGTACGCTTGTGTGTTTGTTTTGTTTTCTTGAGAAGAGGAGAAAGAGGAAAGGGCACAGGTTGTTAGAATTTCTCCTTCAATTTGTCCTTTTCATACAACGTGTACCGCAGAAATTTATAGACTTCAAACTGTTGGCGATTTAAAAAAAAAAACAAAAACAAAAACTTCTTACGCAGCGCGCTCGTGTATATTCCAGGCTTTTACTTCGGGGAAAAGCAAAAAGAAGTTGAAAGAGAACCATCGCCGTGTAATCAGACTCAGCTCCGTAATACGCGGGTAGAAAACATGTCGTTTTCGCGTTTCACCGTTTTTGCTCGACGTTTCTCATTTCGGCGTCAGTCGCTCGAAAGTCAGTCGCTCTCTGCCACTCCTCAAACGTCAGCTGTCCGCTTCGCTCTCGCTTCTCTCTCCTCGCGTTCTCTCAAGTCGCATCAAGTTCGAATTAACGTTGTCACCGCGGGGCGAATAATTTCGAGCGTCGTGCATAATTCAAAGCACATGAAATTGCATGGCGTGTAAACCGAATGGGAGAAAAAGATGAATGAAAAAAAAAAAAAGAGGAAAGAGAGAGTCTCGTCGTTGTTTTGTGAAACAGAAGTTCCAAAGCAGACGGAAATGTTTTTTCTCGACGCTTACACATCTTTGTGTTTTTTTTAAAGAAATATAAATGTAATGTTCTATTCGCGCGCGCAATTTTGTTTTGAAAGTAATGACGAGACTCGCACATGTTCGTTCTTATAGTTTTGATCGTCCGCTTTGGTAAAAAAAAAAAAAAAAAAAAAACTTTTGACGTAAATCCGAAGTTGATAAAATATGTTCTTCCGCGCTCCGGGAACTCTCTGAGCTTAACGACATCGTCAGAAGATGATAATCTAAGCACGGAAGGATCATGTTGTAATATATAATGATGGGATTAAAGGGGAGAAAGAGAAGGATGAGATATTCTCTCCTGTCAGTGCGTAAATCTCCTGTCAGTATGAATCGCGCGTGTATTTCCTACATGGGAATCACTCGGTGTGATGATTTTGCTGCTCCATGAAATAAATTTACAAATAAAAATTATATATACTTATATTATTTGTATTAATTCGTATCATCAAATATATTAAAATATATTTATATTGTAGCCAGTTGCTAACGAATCGTTGTCCCGGCGTTTCTCCTCATCCCTCGCGGCAATTCTCACGACGGGGTAAAGTTACAGCTTCTTCTTAATAATGTAATATATCGATTCTTCAGGAAGAGCCGGCATGCGCTTAACGAGCGCGCGCGTTTCGCTTTACACACGCACGTCGTAAATCCAACAAGTGTAATTATTAAAATGAACGCTAAACAGCGATCCTATTCGAGTAATGGACTCGGTTACGCTCCGCCGCGGTCTCTCTCTCGCGTGTGTGTAAAGGAGAGACCCCCCTCGTGAGAGATATAGTCGCGCCTATATTTATGTGTGGCAGCACAGAAAGATGAAAGAGAATCTCTTCTCGGATTCTCACACAATCGTCTTAACTTCGTTAAGCGGTTGTGCGTGTTTTACACGGTAAGGAAAGCGGCGATACATATCGCGCGCCGGGCGGGGGAAGGTTGTATGTCGCGCTGTTAATTTAACGCGGATAAACCGGCGCTCTCTTTTGCACGCGCAATAAGTCACCGCGCTCCGGGACAAAGTCGAGATAAATCTCACAAATCCTTTTCTTTGTGTTATTTCCATTTTTTATGTTTTTTGTGTTTTTTCGCGGATATCGCCGAACACTCGTAACTCGCGGTTTTGACTTGAGTTTTTTTTTCTTCCCGACCGATCGTCTTTCGAGGAAGGATTTTTTCGTGCGCGTATGACAAAACAATTAACGCGCGCATCACAAGTTGATGTTGAAGTTTGATCGTCACACTCGTGCGGAGTTTCGGTTTAAAAGACGAGCGTGATAAGTAAGTCACTACTTTAGAAAGTAAAAGTTTCCCTAAAATATGCAAATGTGTAATTATCGACGTTTTTACATCGGCATTTACACCAGCTTGAATGTTGGCTTGTAAAAAAAGCAATTGAATGTGTTATTTAAAAATCAATATCGAAATAGAAAGGGTCTGGCGTGTTTACACAGCCATCGATCGCGCTCCTTCGAGAAATAACCGGCTATTATGTGCCGACTGTGTGTGTGTGTGCCTACATAAAGCCGAACTATCTTATTACGACCGCGCGCGATCGGCTTCTGCGTTAAGTTAAGTAGATAATTTTCGAGTCGGGCAATTTTTTGATTTTTTTCAACTCCTCACGCTGAATACAAAGTCTTATACGAGAAATACGGGGGTGAGAGAGAGGCGGGGCGCCTGAGAATCGAGCAAATTATAGTGCTCGAAATAATAAGCCGGCTTACCGAATCTTAACTTCGCTTCTCTCTTCGACGTGTCTATTCGCGACGACGACGAGATTCAATTAAATAAAAGTCTCTTTTTTTGGCGAATCGTCTCTTTGTATTTTGCACTCGGAAATATCAAAATTTTTTTTACCCCCAAATACAGTATTTGTCAATATACGGCGATAGTCTCGCAAAATTTAAAACGTTCAAACAGCGACGACGTTAGAGTAACTTTTTTTTGCGCTCTTCTCGTATTTTGTCCGCGAGATAACAGATACTTTTTCTGGCAGTTTATTTCCTTTAGTGATTTCTCTTTTCCAGACTACAGTCCGTTCAGTGGCATTTCTTCTCCCGTCTTGGTGTTTCTGTCAGAGATTTTATTACGTGCACACATATATTTACTTCACAGGCGCGCATTCCTCTTTGTACCTGCGCGCGGCAATCCGAGAAGGGTTCTTTTCTTCTCCTTAGCATCATCCTTCTTCTCTCGGCTGTGAGATATCTCGCGACCGAGAGGAGCTCGGCCGACACTTCATTATCCATCTTGCGCGTGACACGTACTACTCGCGCGATGAAAACTCGGATTACTTCGCGCTCACACCTCGCGCGTTCGCCTCGGGATTTAGCTCCAGGTAGAGGACTAGTGCGCAAGTCGCCTTGATATACTTTGTGCTCGCCGCGAAGCGCATTGTATTATCTTGTCAGACCTTTATTTCGGCCTGGTTAACTCGCTCCGATCGGGAACATGACAGATCGTTAGAGTCTAGAGAGATGAAAAACAGGTTGTGTGCTTCTCTCGATCTCTCTTTTCACCTCTCTCTCTTTTTTTCTCACAAAAAAGAACAGTATACCACCTTTTTAACCAGGAATTCCTTCTTTTGCCAGTCGACCTGAAAAGCCTTGTAAGGTCGCGTCACGCGCACACACACACACACAAAGCGAGAGATATCGTACAAGTTGTCCCAAGCGTATCAAATATCCGGGTGGCGATTCTTTTATGAAGTTGGAGTCAGTCCTTTTCTCACAAAGGAAATAGAATTCACGGTTGTCGAACGCTATAGATCGTTTTATTTGAGAAAAGTACATAGAGCAATGTATTCTTGTTTTAAATGTTCGATTTTTCTTTGATTTCAGATGATAATAGGAGAGTATTTCTACGCAAGACACGTTCCCGAACACAAAGCAAATGTTTTGTTCGGATACACCATACCTCCGTGGCTGTGGAACGCTTACGGAAAGGTTTGTCTTATCGATATGTCTTTTGTGATAAAATGAAGTTTGTTAATTGAACATTTCGTAGTTGCACCGATTGCACTAATTGGAGAAATTGAAATAACATAAAGTAAAAAACCTTTCACTAATTTTCTTTAATCCACATCGTAATTTTTTTACTTTTTGAAAATTACGAGAATGTTACGCGCGATATATAAAATTGCACAAGTCTTCTCTTGTCTCTTAAAGTCTCTTTGTCACAAGTCATTCTTGCCTAAAATGGCGATGTTGTTTCCACAGGTTGGCATTTTTGGTTTCGGCGCGGCCTGCACCGTTTTATTCACGGACATCGCCAAATACACGATCGGTCGATTACGTCCGCACTTCATGGATCTTTGCAAGCCGAGTATAAATTGCACTTTACCTGAGAATCAGTATAAATACTTCGAGAATTTCGAATGCACGGCAACAGGAGTAACGGCCAAGTTGCTGAAGGATGTCAGGTGACAAATTTTTCAACACGCATTCTCTGAATCTCAATTTAAACGACACGATATCATCATCCGCCGCAAATAATGTAAAATTCGCTTAATCGCGCGAAATGAATCGAATGTTTCGAGCAACAATTTACGCGATCACGTGTAATTTTGCGAATATAATGTTATTTAATTTTAAACCACGGGGACAACTTAACTCGTGCAAATGACGAGAATTCAGACGTGTGCAATTTACTCGCAAGAAATGTTCCGAGTGGTTTTATCTTAACAAAGACGAGCTGAAAGTTTTTGTTTCGTTAATTATACAAATATATTGAGAAAGTCAAAAGTAACAACGAATAAAACGTTTTCTCCAATAAATCCGTCAAGTCGACGAATGTGCGGTAAAATCAAGTGTATGTTCAACTCTGGTTGTTCCTGGTGTTAAGGAACTTCCCGATCTTTTCGACGCGTAAAAGTGAGAGAGACGCGCACACGTGACGTATCAATCGTAAATTTTATCGCGCACTTGTGGGCGATACATTGGCAGCGTTTATTTAGCGTCAGTGTATGTACTGTTACGCGCGTACGTATATACATACGTATATACATACACACAATATATACACCGCGTGTGCGGGTTCTTTGTGGTGGCTTTATTCTCGGTCTCGATAGCAGAAGGCGAAACCAGAAGGCATCGGGCAGAAGAGATCTCTCGGGCAATATATCGTGCGTGAAACCATCGGAGAGAGAACACGAGAGAGAGAGAGAGAGCCCCGCGTGCGTTGGTCGCGTGACGGTAACAATTGCGCCTGGGCAATTACTGAGTCACGGGGCGAGGCGTGTGCGATTAAACGAACACGAGAAGAGGGATTTTGTTGCGTTTCGGTATTTTTACTTCATTAACAGTCTGGCGGGCCTTGGCGCTGTTTGCACGTATATGATTACACACAAGGACTGCGGGAACACGAGAGACGAAACGGTAATTTGCGGTAATCAAAGGGGACGAACGCGGAAAGACAACGCGACTGTCGTCTCTTAAATCGATTCGATACGCCGACACGCTTGACTTTCACATTAAACGCTCATTGGATTATCAGTCGTTTGTCCGTTTGTCCCGCCTACTCCCCTTATCCCGAGTTATTTATACGCGTGCTTTTTTAATTAAACAACAGCATTCGGTCGGTTATATGTTTCTCGCAAACAAATCGTTCTCTCGTTTTCCTGATGAGGGATATGTCGAGAGAACGTACCGTCTGCTCACACAGAGAAAAACGAGAGGTTTGTAATTTGTTAATTTGTGTTCTGTCCTGAACGAATCAATCGCGAGAATCCTCCTGCACTTTCACTTAAGTTTTCACAAAAAACTGATCGAAAAAATCTTACACAACCCATAAACACAAATATCTTTCTAAACACTAAATTTACTTCATTGATTTGCTTTTGGGTTTTTTTCTTACAAAATTAAAGCAAAATAAAAACTTCGTGAGAGGGAGCGAAATTTTCTGTAAAAATTTTTCGTAAAAAAATGACAGCGTACTTTGACTTTTTTTTTTCTCAATCTCGTTAGCGTTATTTAAAGCACGCCGGTGAAATTTAAACCCTCTGACGCCGGGATACTTCCTGAATTGAATGCTCCGCGTGTGCGGGCTTTGTTGTCGGATAATGGCACAGAAACCTTTTTGCGCGCATCCCGGATACGCGCGCGCGTACATTCAGCGCAACTAAAGGGGAGGCCGGTCCGGTTTTAACGGATATATGTGCATACGAGAGTATGCGCTTAAAAAGCGCCACAATATATACGGGAACAGAACTCATGCGAGCGATTCGCATCCGCGAAATCGTGCACAATGTGTCTACTTCCTCCCGCTTTTATTCTCACGAGAGAAACGCCCGAAATATATTTGTCTTGCGCATTCTGCTCGTTGTACAAATGAATGGAACAACGCGAAATTCACACGTTCCCATTTCTCCGTTCGTTCGTTCGTTTTTGAACCGGTCGGTTTAAGCCAGATCTATCTATCGCGAAATCCAGACGTGTTTACGCGCGTCAAGAGGGAGAGATGTTCCGCCGATTTCTCTCTCCTTGTGTTTCTTTTTCGCTTCTCCTATACCGCGTATTTCGTCTGCGATCTCTGCCAATGGCGCGCTCCGATTTCGAGATAGCGCGCGATCACCAATTAGTCCCTATCCTACGTTCGAAATTTATTTCAAGAACGTATTCCCATTGACTAAATGTGAAGAAAAATCATTCACATGGTTCTACAAAACAAAAAATGCTTAGTTTCCGAGAGAAATGTCATTATTTTAATTTATTAAAATTAATAAAAGTCACAATATCGAACAATTAAGAAGCAAGTCTTAAGCGTTTCCTCGGAAAATTCGTTGCGTGTCTGGCAACTTTGCTCGCGAAGAAGAGAGTTTCTTCTTCGAGGTGGACGCGTAAAAAGTTAATAACACATCGCGGTCAATTGCATCTACTCGGGAAATACCGCGCGACGTTCACGCAACGATGAAACGCATTCGATACGGCCGCGTCGCGGATAACTAACTTTAGCACTTCGCAAGGTTGCATTTGGAGAGAGCGCGCGAATGAGTTTTCTGACGAGCGCGACTCACGGCGGTACCTTGTTTTTACGCGTCTGGCAATTTTCGCTCGCAATTTGCCAGCGGAATGCGAAGAGAGTCACAAAGACGAGAAGGAGCGGCTAGAAGTTGGACGGACGGAGGGAAGGAGGCTTGTGGCGTGTGAGATAAAGGGCTCCAGCTGAGATAGAGGACCGTGCGGCGAAACGCACGAGGGATTATGCACCGGCTTATTACTCGAAATAACATCGGGACCCCACCCGTTACGCGTGCGTCATTATCTCTCAGAAGTTGGGAAAACACGTTTAAAACGCGACACACCTGCGACAAGGCCGAGATTTTGCGATGATTCATCGCGCTCGGATGTTGGAACGGACGTCGCAAAAAGAGCATCAGGGCGTTTTACTATAGATCAGACCCCTCTCTCTCTCCGTGATCTACGGGGTCTTTCTCGTTTAAATGTGTATCTCAGTTTCTTAGAACATTCAGAAAACGTATCTGGGACGTTGTGCCTTAACAGCATGTTTGTTTTTTTTTTTACACAAAAAAGTCTTTACGCGAATTCCATTACGCGTGTAGAACGTAAATCGAACGTTACTTTTCTCAAGGTTTCGCAAGGCGGAAAGGTCGCGGCAAAGTGACGAATTGCGCGAAATGCGATCTATTTGCGAGAAATGAATAATTTTAATTTAACGAGGAAAAATCAAATATGAAATATTAAAAAAAATCTGTTTTTTTTTGTTATTTACTTCAATATTAAAGAAATTACGGACGAATGATAAAAAACGTTTTTTCAAACATCCGTCAAATTGATGGGACGTGTAAAGCTAGGTGTTTGCTCACACTTGGTTGTTCTAGTGCTAACGACTTCTCAATGCGTGTCAATGTCATTGGTAGAGTCGCGTGTAGTGTTGTCAATGTCACACCGAAAGCGGCGGCCTAGCTCGGAAGCCGTGAGATTGACGGAACGCAGAGATAGATAGTAGGCAGAATCGTCCTCGATTCTCTCTCTCTCTCTCTTTATCTCCCACACATCCGAGATAGTCTCTCGGTTGGTTCCAGAGTCCGCGCGAAAAGCCGCCGCGATTCACGTTCGCGCCAGAAACGCCGTTTATACGTTAGCTTGCGTCATGTGTGTGTTTGATCTTTTTCCTTTTCCTTTTTACGTATTGTCGTCTCGCTTCTTCGTGTGTACGAGGAAGACGAGAGTAAAGGAGCCAAAAAAAGATACACGGTCTTGCGTGTGGTGCAATGAGGCCGCCAGTACGTGCTCTTTCGATATTACGTACACGCGTACTCGACCGTATCGCGGGTCATCTGCCCTTTGCTCATTCGCGCGCGACTGCCAGAGAGAGAGAGAGAGAAAGAAAAGCGAGAGAGGACAGTTTTAAGCGTAAAAGAGATTTGAGGAATCGAGACATGATAAAGAAACCAAACAGAGAATTCATTCATGCTCCCCGTCTCCGACGTAGCCTTCGAAGGAACCGCAACGAACGAAGGGAAGAAGAGAGAATGAAAGAGAAACAGAGAAAGAGAGTCGAAACGAAAGAATAGATTTATCCCCCGGCCCTTTTGACTCGTCCGTCACTTGCCACTTCGCTGAGTCTCTCCCTCGGTTGATTCAGAAAAATTCACGTAAACATACATTTTGAGGGAACGGTGGCTGCTTTTCGCGCTCGCGTTGATTATCACCATGTGCCCTATCATTATACGTTCCTTGAGTTTGTGTACGCGTTGAGTGATATACGAGGCACCTTCGCAACTGATGATCTCGACTCTGAACGATGAATTTCCTCTCTTAAGTTTCTTTCAGCTCTTCGCGCATGCATCTTGACTAAATCTGTCGAGAGAGAGAGAGAGAGAGAAGTCTGAAAATAGTTAATATCAACAATTACGGAATAACCACACACATTAATAGCCACGTTACACCGAGTGTATACCGAGCGGAAAACTGAATGGCGCAAGATGCAATTCCCGCATGAATTCAAGCATCGCGTTTCCCTCGAAGACGCGCGCGTCTCTCCCGAAGACCTCATAAATATCAAGTCTCTCTCGCAGTTCTCGTCGTTTTTCTTTATTTGTTGTGGGCAATTCTCGTTCTCTCTCTTTCGGTTCCTTTCTCTCTTCTCTCTCTTTCTCTTTCTCTCATCTTCGCGTCTTTTGCGCTCCCGGCTAGGTACCCGAACTTTTCGCCGATCGTAATCGACGCGCTGCACGCCCCGGTATTAATCGTGATAAAATTAATAGCGGGCTATTACGCGCGTTGTGCGCAACGATTCTCCGCCCTTCTTCTCCTCCATACACTTGCCTCCCCGAAAGACAAATGGGATTTATTTGACACGACACATCGATCGATCGTTTCAGATTATCGTTTCCCTCCGGTCACTCGTCCTTCTCGGCCTACACCATGATCTACCTTGCGGTAAGTAGTCTTTATAAATTACAAGTGGCGTTGCGCCACACGATTTGCATACGCGGAATCGTGAGAATGCGTCCGTAAATCTTAGGAAACATTAACCAATTTGCATAATTTAATAATTGCGATATGTCGCAACTGTTGTCGCAGCTTTGATAGATGTTTGTGAGAATTGTCGAATCAACAACGCCTCTTCTTACACAGTTTCTTTTTTTTTTTTCACGTTATTTTCTCTCTTCGAATAAATAGTCCGAGTTGATTTCTTTGATACTCAAGTTTTGTGTGACAGAAATAAAGAAAGAGAAGAGCTCTTATCCGCTCACAGAGAGCATCATAGACGACGTTTTGGATTTTTACAGATGTATCTTCAACTGAGACTGAGATGGAAGGGCAGCAAGCTGCTCCGACACTTCCTTCAAATTCTGTGCATTACCATGGCCTGGTTCACCGCGTTGTCACGAATTTCTAACTACAAGCATCACTGGAGTGACGTGCTCGCTGGGGGCGTCCTCGGCACGGTCAGCGCTTTAATAGTGGTGAGCACAATTCGTTGTCTCTCTCACAATAAGAGATTTTATATCTCGTCGCGAACGTCACGACTTCAATAAGATCGGAAGGTCGAAATTCTGAGAATTAAATGAGTCGTGAATTAGCATCCATCTAACACGCGTTTATTTATTATCGTTTACGTGTAAATCAATTTTCGCGATGTTGTTCACTGAAGAATTGAAGATCGGGTCAATTGTGATGTTAAAACGAATTTGTATCGATCAATATATAATCTACACACAAAGTGTATATAACAACGCAATGAAAAAAATCAAACTCGAAAAATAGAGAGAGGGAGAGGAGTGGAAAAACAACATGTGACTAAAGTCACGTGTCTTTAAAAACCGGATTGAAATGTCACAGTACTCGTCAACACACAGAGAAACTGAACGATCAGTATGATACATACACAGTGTATATAATATATATTTATTGTGTGTGTGTCTGCGTGTGTATAAGACGATCAAGATATCTATTGTGTTTCCACAGGCGTTCTGTATAGCGGATCTCTTTAAAGAGGACAAGAGTTCCACGGATAAGCATCGACCTGCTGATTACGAAGCTGAGACCAGCGGAATGGGTGGCACACAGGTGAATAATGGCAACACTGCTAATCGCAACTATTGACTTAACGAGCTCGCTCTTCGCTTGCTGGCTGCAAAAGGCCGTGACTGTCTTCTAGTTGTCTCCGGGAAGCTGAGAAGGTACTTGGGTGGTACTTGCTCGAGGAACGTTATCAGGATCAGATCTTGCACGGACGCGCACGCTGGCGCGATCTTCCTCAGCCGGATCTCGTAGAGTATAGTAGAGATTGCTATTAGATATTCCTCTCTTCAGGAAATACTTTTTCTATAATAATAATTCTGACACGACGAAACTGCCTTAAACATTTTGGGACTTTTTCTCGACGAAACATATATACCAAATACCTCCGTGTTCTTTTCTTATTTTTATTTTCAACGTATAAACTGCGTGTCGTATGAAGTCTTTAATTTGACGCTGTACAAATCTCTCCGTAAGGGAAGAGAGAGAAAAATTATACACACACAAAGAGGACGCGATGTAGCGGAGCTTGCGGATGTAATGTGTTTCGTTTTGAGCTTTGTGAATCAGTTACGCAATAGTGTTCAGTGCGAAAAAGCAGTGTTACCAACTTGGTAGCGAAGAGCGACAAGATTCTTTTTATTGTTACGTCCTTCTGTTTCTTTACTTCTTGCTCGAGATGTAATATGCTTAAGAGCTTTGCATTTATCTCTCGACCGCGATCGATTCTCGCGACTGTTCGGCGGGAAGATGTTCGAAAATATTCCGCGCGGTCGCGAACAAGTCGCTTGATATCGAAATGATTTTTTTTTATTAAATCTAGTACATTCGAATTTGTAGATAGTCTCGCGCAAAGGATATATTTATTCATTCAAATGTGACGTATTTATTTTATTATTTTTGATTGATGAATAGGTGCTTTAATTTTATAAGGCTTTGACGTCAGACTGTGCGCGATATTCGTTACGAAAATTCGGCGATGCGAACTTTCCACGCAAAAGTTGCTCGCAATTTACCATTTTCGCGCAGTTCGTCATTTCCACAATTAGTGAATTCATCGTGCGTGCATGTGCAAGCACGAAAAATACTGACGCGTAGCGCCGACACGAACGATTCGCGGTGTTCTCTGAGTTTCGTCGGAACAAAATACGCTCGAATCAATGCTCGAATATGGCTTTGTAACGGATATTTGTAACGCGCGATTAAACAAAAACGAAAAAAGTGCGCATATGCGCAAAGTACGTGCGAAAAATTTCGAACGCGCATCTGCGTGCGTAGAGGCCTATTAGTTTTAATTTGTACATTATGTTACGTATACGTGCCTATATATATGTTTTTGTAGATTCTATTTCAAATATAGAATCTCGCTGAGCCCTGAGGCATTTGTATTATAAAAGAGAGTCGCGGAAAGAGAGATGTCATTATAATATTGTATAAGATTTAAATCGACTTCGATCTCATTTTTGTAAAATACGTTACGTCGCAGGATATTATCGCCCGTCGATTGCATCGACTGTTTCTAACTAGTGTATATATGCAAATTGATAGAAACGGAATTTTTTTTTGTCGATCAATGCGCGCGCGATCGTCTGTGTTCCAGGCGCGTGTTGTCCTACACTACCTACTTTAGAGTCCTGAGAGAGAGAAGAAACACGTTATTTTTTTTTTTTTCAAATTTTAAGTAGACAATATGATTCACGACGTGCATGGTGCTCTAACAGTTTCAATTAAGTACAATTTTATCGCAGTTCAACTTTGAAAGTATTCGTTCACTACGCAATATTAGAATATAGAATCGTGATAGGAAAAAATTAATATATATATATATATTTATATATATATATACATATATATATATATATGTGTGTGTTTGTGTGTTCTCTCGTGTGACACACTGATATAAGAGAACTTCTTATTTATTTGTTTATTATATATAATAAAAACGCAATAAGTTATTATGTATAGTAACGGAATGAATAAGCATTTTTACGCGTTAAATAAGTTTATAAACACGTAACTTCTTGTCTTGAGTACAAAATAGTTTTGGAAGAGACGGAGGTTTGATTATTCATATGATTTTACACACACGTGCGTCGAATATATCGCGAAACAATTTTGTATTTTTACAAACATTGACACTTCAGCGTTTACGCCTACTTTTCTACTCTTCTCGTCATTTGTTTTTATCTTGAACCGATATTGTCTCAGATGTTACATAGGAATAAACACACGAAAAAAAAAAAGAATGGAGAAAAAGACGGTGAACGTTGAAGTTATGCAAATGCAAAACTCACTTCGACACTTCGTATCATGTTGCAAAATAATTGAATGTATTGACTCTGCTTCTATCTCTTCTGAAAATGTTCGGTTACGTGTATATCTCTCTTCGAACTTTATATAAAGTCTCGACGACGAAAACGAATTTTAATTAACTCGATCGAAGTAAAAATTGTTATACTTTTGTAATTTCTCTTCTACCTTTAACTCACTTGTACTGTAAAACTAATGTTGCGTTTCAGATATAAAATGTATTCTGTGTATCGCGGCATTCAGACAGCGGTATCATTTCAGATCAAACCAAGAGAAAGATACTTTTACATTCGATTTTTAATTCTGTCGTTCGCAATCGCGTAGCGCGTAGAAAAACACATGTAGATCAGGTCTGATAAATCTTAATCAATTTAATGGGAATATCGTATTAAATTCCTGTTATATTAAATTGTGATTACAATAATAAATAAATAGAATCGGGAATAGAATCGTTACAATTATCGAGTCATTAAATATATATAAAACTTAACAAATATATACGTGTATACTATATACATGTACATATATTTGTCAAGTTTCATACTTATCGACCCAATATACCGCATACGAAAAAGACCAAATACCGTTCTGTATAATCTAACGACATTTCAACCTCTCTACGCTTATATAGGTATATTATACACCTGTTAAAATTGTATCACGGTAATAAAAACATTAATAATCATGCGAAAATTCTCGTCTCGCGCGCGTTTGTTCTACACACATATATTACCGAAAACCAAGTGAAGTATCCAAGTCTTGACAGTTTCATCACGAGGAGAACGATGTATATGGTAGGAATAAATTATTGAGTTATATGAATCATATGAATCGTAAACACGTGTTGTGTCTTTTAATTTATATTCCTACTATCGAAAAAGATGTTCCCGGCTGCTGTGATTGTCTCGAGATAAATAGCATCGTCATCTCTCAAATCAAAACGCGATCATCTCTCAAGACGGTTTTACTGGTCGATAACGAGTCATTTAGTCAGATTTCAATCGCGGTTCACGTGTATATATAGTAAAGTTGTAATAAAACAAGTTACAAAAAAAACTTTTAAAAATAATTTGATATTGAAAAAAAATGAGAAAGAGAGAAAGATCGAATAATTAAGCGCATTGTTGAATTTCGTACATTATCTGTTTGAAAAATGTCAAAGCTTCTGTAAATAGTGACGCGCTAATGTAATGTCTATGGTAAATAGCGTTGTGCTTAAAGTGATGACGTTTTCTATAGATAAATAAGATTATTTTATCCTTACTTGTGCTCTGACACCTTTGCAGGACGAATCAAGCCCACTGCAAGCAAGAACGCAAACATACGGCGGAGTTAGTCCAAACACGGAGGAGGACGCCACGCGCCATTGTCAAATTACCTGCGATTAAAATTTAATTTATATTACTAAAATAATTTTATTTTTACATTCTCAACGCTTGCTTACGTAGAATTAGGATGAAATATCTGATTACAAGAACGCAATATAAATATTCCAAAGTAATTTATATACATACGTATATATATATAAGTTATTAGCTTAGTGTGTATTTTGAGATATCTGACGTTGTAGTTTAGCGTACAGTATATTCTAATAACCGCAAATATTAATTGCATGTACGTGTACATACCTGATATTTATAAAAATAGAAAGAGAGAAAACAAAATTATCCGATCAAAATCAAAGAGAAGATTGGAGAAGACTGAAGGTAGTTGCAGATTAACTGTTACCGCTCTATTCGCCAGCGCTACGGTGGTGCACTTTGGCAACTAGGTAGCAATGTCTTAGCTTGTCGGTAAGTATACTATCGGGTCGGTAAGTATACTATCGAGTCGGTAAGTATACTACCGGGTCGGTAAGTATACTATAGGGTCGGTAAGTATACTATAGGTCGGTAAGTATACTATACGATCGGTAAGTATACTATAGGGTCGATAAGTATTATAGGGTTCTTCTTCGTGCTGTATGCTCGTGCATTGATATTACCGACGTGTAGAACAATCTCGAGCCGGCTCAGTCGCTATTTACGATCGAGTCTTGAAAGAGGTACTTGGATTATTCATACTACAAAAAACTTGTTTTTCTATTTACAAACGCACAACGCATTTTCACGTTATACAACGCCATGAGATATCAGACAGTTTATCAATTTCTTCAAGAAAACAAGGTACGGATATTCGCAAAATAAAATAACACTTTTGTGACCAAAAACGGTATATTTCATCGCATGTAAGCAACAAATAATCATGTATATAATATATGCATCATAATATAATATGAATTTGATTGAGACTTACAACACGCTGTATTTGTCGCTAATGTTATTGTTAATAATTTAAAAAGTTATCGAAAAAATAATCTGATATTTTAAAAGCATAATCAATGATCAATTATCATTACCCGACTGGGTAATAACATATGTTTAGAAGAATGTAATTGGCGTATAACGTTTCCAATTACATTCTTCTAAACATACAGTTTTATAATACAATTATTTTGCAAAACAAAATATTATATGTATATATGTCTATATATAAACTACATCGAAATTAATTGTTGGAATATTGTCGAATGCTGTTACTGAAGAATGTAACGATCAAATGTTCGTTTTCACTATCATCTTCGTCACTTCATTCTGTCATTACTGCCATACTGATCTTACGTCTAATATAGACTTAGTAATCAGTTCTACTAATCACATGTTCGATCCAGTCACGATAGAGTGATATATTGGTAAACAATATCGGAAAGTACGTATTCTTCGTTAAGTATCCTCCTCTCGTGCTTAATGCAACTCCGAGAGTTACATTCCGACTAACGATCAAAGAACTGCCCACGTCGCTCTGTAAAACAAGAATAAAATATTTTCCGTGTTAAAAACTTGAAAGAAAAGACAAACTCGCGTAATTGATAACTTTGCGATTTTGAATCTTTTTTTTCTTACAATTATTTTATTTTGCGTGCTTGCTTTTATCAAGAGCTCGCACTCTATGCGCAATATACATACAATTTCGTGCAAGAGACAGAGTAAATTGAAAATACATGCGCGATATTTGTTAGAACTTACAACGCGAGTGTTTAGAAGTACATCGTACGGATCATAAGCGCAGATGTGTGAATCGGAAATACTGTAGTGAATTTTTTTGTACAACTGTCTGCAATATTCCCAATCTATTACGTAAGTAAAAGATTTCACCAAGTGAATAGAACTCGGTGGCGTATTTTCCTGTAATTCAAAAAAAAAAAAACAAAGTTAGCTCACATTAAATGACGCAAAAGTACATCGTTTTACAAAATTGCTCTCAACTTACTTTTTTTATTCCAAATCCGAAAACTTTTGCTCGTAAGTGGTTTCGTTTTGACACTTTGTCCAATTTGGATTTCAGAGGTAAAACAGCTTCGGTAAAAGGTGCAAAAATATTTCTAGATGCATTTCTGTAAATTTTTAACGGCGACAACTGAAAGGAAACAAATTTGCGGTAACTACGAGTGAAAGAAATATTCGAGTAAAAAAAAAAAAAAAACACTACTTTGAGCAATGCGATGTCGTTGCGCCACAAATTGTGCTGATCGTACGATTCGTGCATGATTATTTTTCTAATCGAATGCTTATTATTGTGAAGTTCACGCACATCTATCTCTTTAAGGCCAGTATATGCGGTTATTGTGTCCGCTTGTCGGCTGTAATCACAGCAGATATTGACGTATTGCAGTTTTTAGGTCACACGTTCCCCAACTATTTTTTTTTTTTCAAAATATGTGTTTATCTTAAAAAAAAAATCACTTACTTTACGACGCATTCGGCTGCTGTGAGAACGTAATAATTCTTAAGTAGAATCCCGCCACAGAAAATCAAACCGGAAGTCGAATTTTCTAAAATAACCTGTGAGAATTTAAAGCTGTTTACAACTAGTTTCAAAATTAATCTGTCATCTATGTAATACGAATGTGAACTATTCGATTTCTGGATTTCAAAACGTAAACTTCATTAACAGTTCTTATATAGGTCTGCGACGTACAAGATAAGTTTTATTTCAATAGAGAACCCACACACAACAAAAACTCCCATTAGACGTCTCAACAGCTCCCTAAGATATCTAATATATGTCTCTAGTGGAATTTTTGTTCCTGTGTGGGAGCATTCTTTTTAGATTTTACCTGAAACGTTTTTTCGTTGAGTTTTACCGGCGTTTTATCGAAAGTTATGGAGATTTTACTCGGTTCGGTATGCACAGTGCGCATGGAGGCGCATGACGTCACGTCTGTTGAAAAAAACGCAATTAAATACAAAAAAAAAAGTGTTTGATTCTACAATCTACGTAATATATGTAAATTAGTATTTATATCTGTGTTATTTTATTAATTAATCTTTAATTACAAAAATTCGGTATATATTTCGTAATTTTTCACTTTTGTGCGATTTTTTTCAATACACAGAATAAACATATCTCACATCTTTCTTTTTTACAAACTTTATATTACAAAGCAACAACTTTTTGGCGGCTATACCAATTTTTTTATAATGTATATAATTTTTTACGTTTCTAATATTTACGATTACGTTTTATTACGGTTTTTTGGTTTTACTTACACAGAAAGATGAACGCAAGACCAAAATGAAGCAAAGTTGAAGAAACCATTTCGAGAGCAACGAGCACTGTTGAACAGAGAGCGAGTTTGTTTATTTGAAATGTGATAAAATGAAAAATTGCTACATCTCGTAAGTCTATATACAAAGTTTGCATGCATTTTAGAATTTTTATTATTTTTACTACTTCTTTCTCATTATTTCATAAAATAATCTATATATATTTTGTCCCCGACAACAATAGATAAGTTGCTATATCTTACTTTGGAATTTTTATTGGTATATTCAATTTATCTTTTTGACGACGCACAGTCCTCACAAAAGATTTCACTAAAACACATAAATCAATGTGTTTTGCTTTACTTCAGTTTGTTCTAAAACGTAACGCGCACAGTCTCATTGATCATACGATTCTTCTTCTGTATTTCAAGTTTAGTCGGTGACGAGATTCTATAGACGTAGCGAAATGTATACCTCGACTGACGTGCGACGACCAACGTGAGAATCGAAACGCTTTTCGAGGCAAAAGCAGATTTGGGTTTTCTGGGTTGTATGTGATTCAAAACACACCAATAGAACATCGACATAGGTGTTTGGAAACGTGATGATAGCGTGATGATAGCGTGTACGACCTGCACAAATAACAACAGCAAGGAAAAATAAGTTTGAAATGTTCGTTTCGTGTTTATCAAAATTGTTCACGTTGTTTTTCTACACACAGATCGAATTAGTTTAGTTATTAGTTTTAACAGAAATTTGTTTTTATTACACGCATTATATATATATATATATATATGTATATATATACGTACATAATATGACATTATTTTTAAATAATAGAAGAAATTTACCGTTTTTTTTTTTAAATTATTGCGTGTTCAACACATTTTACATCAGGATCTTGTCTCTCTCGATCGCGTGCGGTATGACGGATAGAACAATAATATTCAGTAATAATCGTGGTACAATATTCCTCGTGGACCGTCGCAGAATTCGTAATAAATTAAAATAAAAAATTAAACGTAGCAACGACTGACCGCCCAATTTATAATTACCGACATTAATATGTCGGTAATACCGATGTGCACGCGCATACAGTACGAAATAGAACCACAGATATGCGCACACATACCGACAAAAGATATCGATAGACGTGACTACGTAATTGCCGATGTGGACGCCACTGTGGACATGGCGCTAGCGAACAGGACGAAAAGCGATAATTGTTCAAACGCGCTCTTCAGTTTGTTTCAGTTTTCTCTCCGCATTTGACATGAGGATTTTGGAGAGAGCGAAAGTATTTTTTTTCCGCTACGGACTTTCTTAACCTCGAACAGATGTCATGCTCGGTTTACGCGGGTTTCAAACTTCAAATTCTCTCGTTTTATTAGGTGGCCTTTTTCTGTGCTTTGTTATTATGACTCAGATAAAACAGATCTACAATAACAATCAGAAACATACTAGATATTTGAACTACAAGCAATACGTAAGATTTCTGTATTTGTGTGTGCAAATAGATTTATAATTACTTCACATAGATGTGATATTTAATCATTTGGTGTATATATATGTACACATAGTTGAATCTTACACAATTACTCATTAATCTTGCAATCAATATCTTTTCACTCATATATTGCTGCTTATTATATTATTTAACGTCTACTAGTGATGTATATTTGTGTGAAACTAACAAAAAAATCTTATATAATTTTCAGATAAGTGAAATAGAAACAAAATTGAGAACGGTTATAAAGTCTATGAATAAATCGTCAGCTTATGTTCATCAGTTAAATGAGATTCTTTCCAAGTATCGAGAAAGGGAATTAAAAAATATTTCGACATCGAGAGCTTCTTTGCTACCGTAAACATCTTGACCAGGTAAATGAAAAATTCTAATTTAGATTAAATATAATTTTATTTTTCAAACTGAATAGACATTTTATATAAAAATTATAAAATATATGGCGATATATAGTGTAAAAAATATAAAGATATATACTGCAAACATATTTGAATATAGAATAGAAAAAAATGCTTTAACAATTAACTGTTATTAAAACTAATTTATTTTAATAATCCAAATTGTCCAGTGGCATACATATGGGATTTTCTTTGTTATGTTCTGAGATTTCTAGAACACCATTTGGTGCACACAACCATGGATCCTTTGTTATTTTCAACCAATTGTACAGTCGATCTCGTAGTTCAAGAAATATATTCTAAAATTGGCATATATATCTTTGTAAATTTAAAGTCAAAACAACTGCAATAATTTGATTGTAAATTTATATCACCTTTGCTGATGATTTTGAAGCAATATTATTTAATTCTTCTGGATCATACTTTAGATCATATAATTCCCACTCAGGTCTCTGATAATATTTTTCCAATGTTTTGTACCATGGTAGACGCTCCTTCTTTCTTGTTCTGTTTAGAATGTCCTGTGTGATATACGTAACAAAATAACATTTTCTTGTGTTTATGTACATTTACATATATGTAAAATAATTGTTAGATTAATGTAAAAGTAGTTTTTCTTATATTAAAACATAATTTGTGGTTTTGGGTATATTTCACTTTTCAGATTACCTGAAAGGTCGGGGATAGATAGAAATCTTGATCAATAGGAAATGGCATTCTGTAGTTGATGTTATGTATTAGTTTGTGACGCTTGGTCCTAATCACCCTCATAGGATAATACATAGTAACTTCGTGATGCGTCTGACTAGCAAAGATCGCTGTATTATTTTCTACGGGCTCTACAAACGAAGATATCGTTCCTATATTCTTGCTACTAGAAGACAATATACATCTATATCATATACATACCCTCACGAAGTAACGGAAGAAGTGATTTGCCAGTCAGTTGCGGAGAAGACATTTCGTTAGCATCTGACGACATCTGATCTGTGTAAGTTACGTTAAACCAATCTAATATTGTCGGTGCTATATCTAGTAGAGACGTCAGGCTGTACGTCACGCTATTTTTTCTGTGACCGTTGATCGGTGATGAGATTATCATAGGTTCGGCCATACCTTCAAAATTGTTTTCAAACTATTACGCTTCTCGCATGTATGTGTGTGTGTGTGTGTGTGTGTGTAAAGTTGGAAATTGCTAACTAGTTCAGATCTATCTTAACAAATTCTATGGAGAATAAAAAAAGCATGTTAGCTTTTTCATTCTCTCGGTTTTGGTGTCTTGATTAACTAAGTTCACAAACCTGAGTCGTACAAATTAGTGCGACCGTTTGGAAAAGGTATGCCATTGTCGGATGTATAAATCACTAGTGTGTTGTCTTTGAACCCCGCATTTTTCAATTCTTCGAGCACAAGACCGACACCTGAAAAATTTCTATTTTTTAAATGCTTTCGCATTAAACTTGACAAAACACGCTTTGCTCGTGCAATAACACTTGGGACGCGTGTACTCTTCATACGTACATATAATATCTTAGAATTACCTTTGTCTAAACGAGAGATTGTTGTATACTGAGCAGCTATGTCTCTCCTGGCAGCTTCGGTGTTTTGAACGTAGTAGGGCACTTTAACTTGCTCCCATTGGTAATATATCGGATTCCAATCGGGAATGGTACCCATTCCGACGTCACCGTTCCCAAATTTCTCGCAAAAATTGCCGTATTCGGGATGAGTGTGTCCGCAACGATGTGGATCGTGAAAAGCAACGTACAGAAAGAAAGGTCTGAAAGAATTGGGGAAAAATGTGTTTGCAAAATATTGTCTCACGTTGAAACTACGTGTAACCATGTGTAACATCATTGCTTACTGTGTCTTATTCTGTGAGAGAAACTCGCGAACGAGTGATTTGATGTAAGTTATATTGCGGCCCACTTGAAGAATAGAATTGTTCTCTTCCGTATGTGCAAAATCAAACGGATAGACGTTATCGGGACCCACGTGTTTCTTGCCGATAATTCCTACACAGAAAGAGAAAACATTTAAGCGTCAAGACTATAGATTCCAGTTGCCACACATACAGTTGTATCTCTTACCCGTTCTTATGTTGTTTCTTCTCAAGATCTTTGGCAAACTTTGTATGTTATTGAAAGAATTGAAGTGATGAACTCCGTGATGAAGACCGTACATTCCATTCTGGTGACTCGGTAATCCAGTCAGTATTGCGGAACGACTATGAGTAAAACGTGTAAAATTCATATTTTGCATGAGCAGTAGATTTTGATTTAGAAAAAAAAACAAAAACTACCTCGGTGAACAACTGCTGACTGACGTGTAAGCGTTATTGAACAACAATCCTTCTTTTGCCAACTTGTCCAAATTCGGAGTTTGGCAGATTTTGTTCAAGTAAGAGCGCATTTCAAATCCCGCATCGTCGGCTGTAGATCACAAGAATTTATTCAATTGTTTTTGTGACAGAAAGTGAGATGTGTGTGTTATTTGTGTGTGATATATGTGTGCATATTCTGTAAGTGTACAAGTGAATTTTTAAAGTGCATAGATACAAAAGTTGTGTTTTAAATTTATTACAAAAATTTGAAAATAATTCTCTACAATTTTTTCTAGGCACAAAAGAAAACACTCTTATTATTTACTTTTTGTTCGTGTGAAAAATTACTTTTAAACATTTACCCAACAGCAGAAGCACGTTTTTTTGAGATGTGCCGCCATTTCCGTGCGCGTTGCGTAATATCAGCAAGATAAAGTGAAACAAAATGCATAACGATTTGTTCAAGCAACTGATGGTTGATGACATATTGCTGTTCTGTGACAACATGTGTGTGCGCGCGTGTGTTAACGCACATGACACGTGACATGTGTGTCACATTGTTGCCAACCGAGAGCGGCCGGAAAGCTGTTATATATATCTGGACGTAAAGCAGATGAGGTGTAATTATCCATCGCGCCGCTTCTTATCACTTACGTCGCGCGTTGTCACACCACACCTGGGTTCGTCGAACGTTTGTAATTGCCGTATTTTAAGCAAATGAAATCTATGCAAAGTGCAACAAAGAGATCCAAACACTTAAACTTGGTATGTTTCTTCTATTCGGTTGGTACATTGCGTGTTTTGCTTCTCGGTGACGTTCATTCATGTAAAGCACGTCACACTGGCGAATGTAAAAAAATATATGCACGTGTGTATTTTTAGTATTCTCGACTGTTATTTCGAACATGAACTTTTATCAACATTCGAGACTCGCACGTTGCTCCAAAGTAACTTTGTCACGAACGTCTCTCTTTGTAAACAACTTACACGTATGCATTTTCTTTAAAGTACATTCTTGTTCTTCATCATGTTTAAATTTGAACGAATATGCTTATTCGTTCGAGTATCTGTTGCGATAGAAATGTAATATTATTGCTATTTTATAGATCGGAGAGACAAGAAACAATGTGCGGAAACGCGAATTTCAGCGATAAACGATCTCTGTTAGAAACGAGGTGAAGAGTGAGGAGAGTGTGGGATTTTCGTCAAATTATCGACGCGTGACTTGAAAATCTCACTCTTTGATCACTTTTCTCCGATCACTTTGACGCTAACGTGTAATTAACTTTTTACACGTCTATTTTTATGTATATTTTTGTTTTATATGTTCTTTTAAAAAGATTTACTCTATTTTGTATGCGTGAATGAATGATTTTGGATATATCAGATATATAAATATGTGTTTCAGAATTTCTTTAAGTAGACCATCCATCATGTCCAAGAAAATTATCTGCCTGTTTGATATAGATGGCACACTCACCGAACCACGACAGGTATTATATTTTTTGTACTTGCAATTATTCGTTGCCAATCCGTGATTCTTTCACCTTGTGCTCAAAAATTTTATTTTTGCTTTCTAGGCAATTAATTCCAGTGTTGAAAAATTTCTTCTGGAAACTGTGAAAAAGGAATTTGATATCGCGGTAGTCGGAGGATCTGACCTGATCAAAATCCAGGAACAACTCGGTGACAAAAATGTATTTGAGAAGTACAAGTATGTCTTCGCAGAAAATGGCCTCATTGGCTTCAAGGAAGGCAAGACCTTGCCGTCGCAAGTAATAATGACAGGAATCTTGTCTAACGATAATAATAATGTACACACGGTTTGTTTCTCACATTGATTGTGTTCTTTTTTTAGTCGATTCAAGATATGCTCGGAGAGGATGCTCTGCAAGATTTTATCAATTTTGTTCTGCGATACCTGTCAGAACTGAAATTGCCGTTTAAACGCGGAACATTCGTTGAATTTCGCACAGGCATGATAAACGTTTCGCCAGTGGGACGAAATTGCAGTAAAAAGGAACGTGAACAGTTTTACGAATATGACAATGAACATCACATTCGGGAGAAATTCATACAGGCTCTCAAAAAGGAGTTTCCTGAATTGGCTCTAACATACAGCATAGGTAAGTAATACATTGAATTAATATAAATATATATAACATATATAAGAGTAATTTAAATAGTAAAATAAATAATGTATATCTTTGTAAATATTATATGTTTGAGACATATATTAGCGACTAAAACAAATACACGCTTTACATATGTGTGTGTGTGTGTGTATCTAGTAGTAAGTGCATATTTATTTATATATTTTTTTTCTTTTTGTAAAAGGGGGACAAATCTCTTTCGATGTTTTTCCCATCGGTTGGGATAAAACTTATTGCTTGCGTCATATCCAGGGTTATGACGAAATACATTTCTTCGGCGATAAAACGGCCGAGGGTGGTAACGATCACGAGATTTACGAGAGCGATTTGACGATAGGACATCGCGTTACTTGTCCGAAGGATACGGTGAATCAACTGAAAGTTCTCATGGCACTTATGAAAGAGAACAGAGAGAAGGAACAGCTTAGCGTTCCGATGCAATGTATTTAACAGCCAAAGTCTAAAATTTAAATATTTTTCTAGTTGAAAATAAGTGCGCACTTTATTTTTTACTCTGATACATAAGATACGCACGCAATTTTGTTCTTGCCTTATTTTATTTTATTCACTTTGTTTTTTTATTCTTTGCAAAATATTTATGTTTGCAAAATTGATTACATTCCTAACGCAATAAGTAAACAGTAATACTTAATTAATGTATAATTTTAGATACACACACAAGAAGTTTTTGCACAATTTATATTTATATTGTTACGATATAATTATATTTTTTATAAGTATAATTATATTATTTAAAGTTCCACTTGAAAACATCTAGACACTGTTTTTTTTTTTTTTTGACACATTTACACAAATACATTGACACATGCATTCCTTTATAATAAAAATTTATTGACTCGTTTGATATACAGAATCTTTAAAAAACCAAACAAGAAAAATAATGAAAAAGATGGTTAAAACATTACGATTTATGCTCGAGATGAGCGTCACTCGCGCAAATATCTTCTATATACATATACGTACATACACGTTCACGCTTGCTCGAATACATTTACAGGCATACAAAATAGTGAACGTTATTATAATTACGTGATTAACACGGTACTGATGTAAAACAAAAATAACATTTTTATTGTTTTTATCAAAAATCTGTCTGTACACACGTACGCAACATGACGTAGAATCGTTTTTTGCCGCTGACGTAAAGATACATGTTTACTTTATATTAGCATATGCAAATGGTCAATGAGGTGTACAAGGTTAGTATCGTAAAATATTTGTTTTTCTAATGCAATATCACAAGTTATAAATGCGTTTTCAAGTAAAAGTATAATTTTCAAATTGATTATTTGAAAGATTTGTTAATTATTATGTATGTATATATATATATCTCTTGCGAGAAGTTATGAAATTTTGTTTACGATATATAAAAATAATATATATCGCTCGTTGTCGCGAATGTTTATGCTCCCTGGTAGATAGGTGCGCGTTTTGCCACGAAAGCGGCTAGTCCTTCGATTCTGTCTTTCGTGTTTATGATCTTGCTGTAGCATTGTTTTTCAATCTCCAGACCGTCTTCCAGAGACACCTCCGTGCCTTTGGATATAGCCACTTTCGCCAATCTAAATGATAATACACGATAGTTAAAATAATTTCTATAAATAAGTACATATTGTGTAGTCCGTATAAATAATAAAGTGGCTGGTTACTAAGGAAGTGGTTCCAAGTGTTACATGAGCATGTTTTACTGTGACTCGATGTTTATTATATAATATGTAAAAGTAATTATGACAGCACTTCCGAGTAAACATTATTTCATTTGAGTGCTGCTGCTTGACAGGCTAATATAAAAATAATAACTTTTATTGATATTTTTATTGATCTTATATATTTTTTTACATTTATTTTTGTTTATTATTCCGGAATATGTTTTTAATAATTGGCTCACACTGTTTTTTATTTTATAAAATGTAAATTTCTCTCAGTAACATACTGAGTGATGCGAGTTTTGAAATCTTCTAAAATTTGGTTTGTCTGTATTTTTTTTTTCAAGAACTCACCTGACACTGATAGGACCATTAGGCAGAATTTCTCTCGCGATAGAGAGAGCCGTTTGATACGCGGCGTCGCCAGTCTTATTTTGTGGAACTACCTCGTTCACGAGACCGATCTGCATCGCTTGCTCGCCGTCGAGAATCCGCGCCGTGTAGATCAACTCCCTAGCCTTTGCGACTCCGATTATTCTCGGTAGTCTCTGCGTACCACCGGCTCCTGGTATTATAGCCAACTTAGTCTCCACGAGACCCATCTTGGCTTCCGAAGAAGCGACTCTGATATCGGTGGCTAAAGCGAGCTCCAATCCACCTCCTAACGCCACACCGTCGATAGCCGATATCACCGGAGTTGGCAGAGTCTCCACATCCGTGAGAAGATTTCTCAATGAGGACACGAATTCCGGCACCTCCGAATTGTTCATCTTCAGTCTCTCCCGCAGATCCGCCCCGGCGCAAAACACTTTTGGAACGAGGCTGCGCACAATCAACACTTTCAGATTGTTGTTTTGCCTGATGTTGCTCACCGCTTCGTTGAGCTGAGAGACCAAAGTTTTCCCGAAGGAATTGCGAGCGGCGGGTCTGTTTAATCCTAGCACAGCGATACCGTTATCCTTCCCGTCCAAATAACTGACGATTATTTCTCTGGTGTCATCTTTTGGATTTGGCATCACACTTGTGGCCAGTGTCCTAGTGATACAAGCGCACACGTGATGAAGAGAATTTGTCATTCTGATACTCGCTACAAGAGAAGCCATTGTGCTGTGTGTTGTTGTGAAACTTCTCTTTAAAGTGGAATGGAATCTGAAAGCAAAAAACTTTTTTATATTCGATAAGAGACACTTGAAGTACGATCTAAATCGTACTTCAATCTACGCACTTTGGATCAAACAGTAAACTGTGTAGGTATGCATATATTCATTCTTATATTACTTTATATTTAAATATACATGTGTATAACATTTCTTTCAACTACTAAATTTTTTTTCAAGAATACTTACTCGAACGCAACCGGTTTCTCTCGACTCGTCGTTGCACGCCGCTTCAGCACGCAAACAATCTACTACGTCGTTATCCTTGATCCTATTTTGGGATTACGATGTTGCGGTAGCAAGCAACAGGAGCAACATTTGCGTTGGGCGCGCGCGATTGTTATAATGTATGCGCACGCGCCTGTGCATAAAGTGTTCTTAAGGATTTCTGCGGACAGGACGCGTCAACGCGCGGCTAGAAGCGACGCGATGGCCAATCAATATGTTGCCTTTCCACGAGAGCGAAGATGATGATTGGCCGACGCGTTGTTTCTTGTCGCGCGCGTAACGCGTTCTGTTCGCAGAAGCCGCAAAATTTTTGCGGTCTGCGTGCCGCGAACGAACTGCATGCAAATGATGTCGCACCAGGAGAATAGCGATATTTATTTCTTTTTATTTTTTACAGTTTAACGTACCTTGTATCGGCGACACTACGACGTCATCGAGACGATGGTGAAAGCGGTAGGAGAAAAATTTTTCGAGCGAGAGCCGCGCGCACGCACAAACCTCCTCCTCACGAGCACTGCCGCATCGGTGTCGCGGCCACGACTGTTTGCCTCTTTACGAAAGCGGTGGACGAAAGCAAACAACATGCACACATGTTTATAATGAAAGAAGTCGGGTTTTCCGCGCATGCGTATTGCGTGTTCCCACTTTCGAATAAACGAGGTACGTATATCTTCGATTCATCTCTCCGCATCATTTTTGAAGCAAAACGAACTACTGCAAGATTAAATATCACACTATAATTTCTACGTTTGATCAGAAAATGAATTTATTTCACGTATGAAATGATGCGTGTGTGGTGAGTTTTTCTCTCTAGAAAGATTCTTTCAAGACACTTCCACGTCGTCAATGTTATCGCACAATTATTTGTCACCTCTGCATTCGGCGGGAATGTCTTCATAACGAAGCGATTACGTAACGATTCGGGAACGATCGTTTTAGATCGCGTCTCGAGAGAAACTGTAAGATGAATTGCGCGTATAAATCAGGTCGTAGAAGCGAAGTCACGAACTGCGCGTCGTCGTCGTCGTCGTTGTGATCGTCATCATCATAATGCATTCCGAAGAAACATTTGTATGTAAATCTACTACTGCCTATTTCCAGCACGACGATCTCTATGCACAACTGACTCAACAAAAAACAAAGATAGAGGCGCCGTTATTCACATTCTGATCTGTTTAAAATTGTTTTAAGTTTATCTTCAGACGGTGTGCGGCCAATGGGACGCCCGTACACGATCTTACGATGACCTTAAAACGAATTTAATCATAAGATATCGGACTGTGAACACCGCCCATAGTCTTATCACTGTACCGATTAGAAAGAAAAGATCGTGTCTATTTTCTCGCATTTGCGAGTAAACACACTATGATTGAGCTAATAAAAAAAAAAATAAAAACTTTTAATCAGAATATCGCGGAAAAAATATAATGACGCCTTAAGAAACAGTCGATCGCGAAATGTTTATGATTCGCGAACTTTGATCATCGACACGACGACATATAGTGAAGCAATGTGTGTGTGTGTGTGTGTGTGTAATAAGTAATGAAATAAGAGGTAAACGGAAAGTTTGAAATGTTCTCCCTCATTACAAATGTGTCGATCATCGATGCGTTAACTGTCCGCAGAATGATAATGACGTTTCGATAAGCGCATTATAGATACCAGAATTATCTGCAATTATCGCAATTTTTCTACGTGAAAAGACTAAACAAATATCTTATCAAAAACACACACACATATGTAATCAAGTTCATAGTGCGCTCACACATTTCTCAGGCACAAAGTGCAACTTGTTAATTATTTACATGTATGCATTTACATGTGACTACTGTGTGTGTAACGATTTCGAAATTGCATGGTCGTGGATATGCGTGCAAACAAATTCTTTTGTTTCACGTAACGGGAAACGTAATTGGAGTGCGATGACAAACAAAGCGTTATTTTATGTGTGTGTGTGTGTATATATATATATTTTTTTTTTGTATAATTGCTATATTTTTGACCTTTATAATAGAGATTCTTGTTTTACATACAATATCTAAAATAGAAACAACTTAACTCACGGCTTGTGTTTGCTATACGATTTATATAAACCATTAGTTCTCTTAGAACATACACATATATATATATATATATCTCAGACTTTCCAAAGATGAATTACGAACTATGTGACAAATAAATAAATAAATAAATAATTATAATTAATTAGTAAACACAAGTACGATAATACCACTCAAGATTGGTCCAATGTGAAATCCATGATACCCGTATATAGCGTCTCTCTTTTATCGCGTTATTCTTAAATAATCGCGATTCTTATATAATCGATTCTCTCTCTTTAGCACTTTGAAATCTGTTTATTTTATTTTATTGTTATTATTTTTTTTTTAACGCAAATGACAAGAGAAATTATTCTCGATTTGTCAGTCCACGTGATCTTTTTACATATTTAAACTTTGAATTGGAATGTTTTCTCTGACAAAATTTTTGAAGAACAATACAGTCGATGTTCGAAGACACACACAGTGTGTGGCACGTTTCTTCGACACTTTCTCCCGCGAGTGCATTCGGCTCCTCCTTCGCTCGTTGTCTCGAAGGAGAAAAGAAGCGATCGATGCGTCCCGTGAAAACCAGACACAGACACAGCGCGCTCGTCAAAATCGTGTCGAGTCGTCTCTCGCAATTTGATGATGACAAAACGGCGTGTCGTAATCCAACAATCGGACAGCGGTGCGCGTACACTTGATTTGCCGACGATTTCAATTGGACCAAGAGTCTCGGCAAGAGTATTATAAGTTAATAAATTTTAAGTACGAGGCGCAACAGGCGACGGCCGAAGCATTGACCTGGTGGCCGAAGAAAGTTTCTGCGACACCAAATGCGCGATATGGGACGATCTCTTCCACACGAACTCCCGCGTTCTGTCGTGATCGTCCTGACTTTCCACCCGGACCTGATTAAAAAAGCGTTTAGTTGCATTACACGTTATTTTCTATATTCGATTTTTATGTTTTATACGTGTATATAATCATGTAATTTGTGACGGTTCGGGAAAAAAGTTCTTCGCGTACGTGGATACAAATTCTCTTTCTGCGTGTAATTATATATAATTACATGTGAGGGAGATCGTTTCGATCTCATGTAATTATATGGTATTATAATTATTTATAATCAGATATCGATTTTGTTCCGTACGTGCAGGAACCTTTTCCCCGAGATTTTTTCACTTATCGTATATTGACGTTATTGTATCAATTTTACAATACGTGAAGTATTACACACAAATCAACTACATATATTTGATGAGGACAAATGTCGTTGTAGTGCGATATTTGAAGTAGGAACGACAGCGAGTGAACGTTACGTTACAAAGAAGTTCGGGAAACAATCTTGTTCGGACCCAAGACAGACACAGTGCGTACATATTTATACGTATTTGCTCTTGTCATTTCTAGCCCGTTATATTAACCGAACGTTCTTTCATGTTTTTCTTTGACACAGTACCTGTTTGGGTTGCAAGACTCGAATAGAGTGCAACGTCGCCGCGCCGCCGTGCAGGACACGCAGGCTCAGCTTGCCGGACATTTCGGCCGTGGTGGCGGTCGCGCTCCTCAGCTCTTTCTTCGCGGCCCGGCCGAACTCCTTCTCGACCTTCAGCACCAGCGGTCCCAGACTGAACTTGGTCTTGATCGTCGTGTGATCGCTCATCATGTTCACCGACACGTCGCCGGTTCTCTGTAGCGACGCCAATCCGTACAGCGTGGCTCTTGCTTTCGGTTTGTTCTTGGACTTCGTCTGTGAAAATTTGTTTTTATTTTTTAACAATTTAGATTTTATATTCCAATCGGAAACATCTACTTTTTATTGGTTTTTTTTTTGTTTAATTATTAGCGAACGTGCTCCGATTTTAATTACTTTGTTCTTGTTTTGGTTGTTTCCGGTTTGGTTCTTCGTTTTGTTTTTCGTTCGCTTGCGATTCTTGTTGGAACCCTTGTTGCCGGACGTGTGTTTGTTGCTGGATCTAACGCTGGCTTCCGTGGAAATCGTGACCGGTGAGATCGATTCCTTCTCCGTTGCGGCCGTTTGCGTCGCGACAGACTCTATGGTTACTTTCTAGACAAACACACGCGCGCGCGAATCGCAGATATTTTACATATTGAAAAAAAAAACGCATGAATAAAGTATGGGAGAGATGTGATTAGAATTTATGTGGATTATACCTCGACCGCGTTCTCATTGTCGTTTCTCTCAGTGACGGCGGTTGCGGTGTCGATCGGTTTCGAAGCGCTCTTCTTGGTGCCGTTCTTATTGTTCTTCTTTTTTGTCTTGTTTTTGTTTTTGTTTTTGTTCTTGTTCGCTTTGGTGCCCGGCGTCGGATTCGTCAATTTCACGGTAACCGGCTCGTAATTGGTGCGCAGTATGTTGTTGATCTTGCCGAGAATGTTGTCGACGAAGCGATTGTACTTCGCCACGTAAATCGCCGGCACGTGAACGCTCGGTTCGGATTCCATGCCACCTAAATCGATTGATAAGACAGTCGCGTCAGTTTTTTTTAAATTCCTCTTTCCCAGTTTCTTGAGTACTTCTTCGCGAAAGTTCAAGCGAAGACGTTAATTTTTACACTCTAGAACAGCTCTTGTGTCCTAAAAAATTTCTGAAATCGGTAGCATTTAAGATGGATCATAGAGATGATGAATCTTGTATCTGATTTCTGTGTCTCGAACAAGCTCTCAAATTATTCGGACAATGAGCATACGAAGCAATAATACATTTATTTAATAGTCGAACTTCACATATCTTCAAGTATTCTTCATATTAGTGAGATAGAAAACGACTATCCGGGACTACTTTATCATCTTTATCGAATTAATAATATGTTTGTGTGTAGATTATGATTATTACAATGTTAAAGCTAAATGAACATTGGTTTTTTTCGATTTTTTCTCGTTTGCATCTATTTTTGTTTTACATCCTGAAAAAGCCTAACACAAAAGTAATTTCCTTCCACAGCGATGTGGCGACAAATATCAGGAATCTGTTGAAATGTTCTACATGGCATTTGTTATAGTCAAATTATAAATTATAATTATCAAATTATAAATTAGCACTCTAGTGTTATACATGTATATATGTATAATTATACATGTATATATGTATAATTTAGAACGTATATATGTATATATTCTGAGAGAAAATGTTTTAGTAGGCATCGCACACACCCGAGATGCACCAGATCATCAACGGCCGTCAGCTTACGAGATGTGAATCTTCACGTTCGCCGGAATCGTCCGATTGACCCAGAAATTCATAGCATAATTTCCGCGTTCTCCAGAAAGAGAACAGAGATCTTCGATATAACGCGCGAGCGGAAGACCTTGAAGTTCCCATCTTTCGTGAAGTTCATTTCCTCCGGGGGTCGTCGACCCTCGGGCACGGGATTGTGCCACCTTGCGCGATTCGGGACACCTCGGAGCATCGTTTCTCGGGTTTTAATGAAGGGAAACGCATTCCCTCGCCGCGCTCTTACGTCTCTTGGAAGAAGGAAGTCGCCGATCGAGGTGGGGCCTACTTTAGAGCGCAGCGACAATATTAACGGTATATCGGAATTCTTCGGCGCGACCAAACTGGTCCCCGATCTAGGCCACGACCTCGTTCGGTACCACATCGCGCAGACCCATCTAGTACGCGGCGCGGACACGCGTTCAGATCCCGCACGTACACACGAAGCCGTCGAGATACACTTCTCCCCCTCGGTACGCGCGCTCTGCCCACCTAAAAACTCTCTCCCGGCCGTTGCACCTGCAGCATGTAAGCACACTTTCTTCCGGAGTCGCATCAGTGATGAGACTCTCGTGCCACGGGCGATATCAAGGCCGTTTACTTACTGGCATAGACAGACGGTGAATGCCGATCGGTGTGTCTCTCGATAACGAGCTCACTCCGTTCAGCACTTCGACTCCGTCCGAGAAGTAGAAAATATTTATTTTTAAATCGCACACATATTCCAGTATTTTGTGTCACACACATTTGTATTCCAGTAATTTATACTTGAATTCCACGTGAGGTAAATTTTTTTCACACGCCCGTATCCCACTCTCAATATGCATTGATCGCCGGAGATAAATTTTCGCTTTTTTAATAAATATTTTACTCTTGAAAAAAACAAAACGCGGGTCAATCGAATTCGCACACACCCGAGAGATTAACGGCGACGATAAGTCGCGTAGGAATTTTCGAGAAACGTGTCACGCTACGACAATCGAAGGACATTCGGCTTGATAACTTCGATAATGGGTCAGGGTCGCAGCCGGAGAAGGCTCTTCCGTTGCGCGAGCTCTCTGTGGGTCAGCGGCCTCGTTTCTTTTTTGACCGGCTACTTCTGGTGAAAGCCGGGAAAAAATTTCAACGCGGTCGCACCTTTGTTGGACTTAACCCGACAGATATGTAGAAAGTTAATTGAACGTGGCGTGACGGCTGATTAAAGACTCCCCGTTCGTAAGCTGATAGCGACGTTGTTGTTTTTTTTCTCTCTTTTTCTCTTTTCGCGATTGAATCTTCGGCAATGTTTATCTCGCTGCTTCCGCATTGGATCTCTAGTTTTAGCCGCAACTCCAAAGATCGTGTTATCCAAATGTTGTTTAATTGTATACTACATTAAGAACTAGCAAAGATTGAAGCAAAATTAGAACTAACAGAGATGTACAAGCTTTAAGAAGTCGAGAACAGATCCAACTAGAAACAATAAAAGAAATCTACTATATGTATCTACCATAGAGCGATCTACAATGAAAGAGACATTTGAACATCAGCCGCTAGATCAGCAAACAACATCATCAACTGTTTGCCATCAGATATTATTCTCTTTCGTTTGGTTATACATATGTATATGTAACTTCTCTTATTACAACTACCGCATATAGTTAGTTACTAACTACTAAATTCTATATCTACTTAGGAGGAAGGTGGGAGAAACGGGAATGCTGAATGAAATGGAGAGAGAGACATCGTGCGCTGTGCTGTCCAGTTACACGTTGTTGCAGTCAATCGTCCAAACAACCGTCCACCAAACACGCGAACTACTTGGCAAATTACTGAAGCGACAGCAGGCAAGAGCGATTACGGTCTCGTGAGGAAACGAGCGACAAGAACAAAAAAAAAAAAAAAAAGAACAAAAAAACAAGCAAGTACAAGAATCTAATAAAAGCTAACATGGGAAGAAAAGACAGGAAAAGAGAAGCGCTGTTATCGAACGCATTCAAATAGCCAGGCGGGTTGCCGCACGTCACGTCTTTTCCTCAGCCGGGAGATCGAACGATTTCCCGTCGAGTTCAACTTATTCAACGACACGCTCTTAAAAAATGCCTTCCGTATTTCTTTACTCGAGACAACCGTCCAGATTTTTCCCGCGTTTTTCTCTCCCTCTCTGTGACCAAAGGTGGTTTTGAACTTCCCGGTCGAAGAAGATTAACGATTTTGTTTGAGAAATCGTGTTTGCTTCGAAGAAGGGAAAACGCAGAGAGAACTCGCAGTCCCTCCCGGATCGCGCACGCGCGTGACAACAAGGTGTATCTGGACATTGAACACGCACGAATCGATTCGACTGGACGGTGGTGAAATAAATGAGAGACGATATACACAATTTTGTAAAAATAATAAATTATCTGTATTTTCAATCTTTTCCAGAAGACACGAACAATGTATAATCTCTGTACAAGTCTTGGTACTACGCAAAGAAGTAACGTTAGAAAAATCTCTCAATTCGATCGCGCACGTGGAACACAGAATCGAACACCGTTCACTGGATCGTCCGTTTAATCTGGCAGGTGACGGATATGTATACTTTTATTATATACACACAAGTCAAATTGCATTGCGTTCAAATTTTGTGTTCTTGTAGGTTTTACAAAGAGAACAAATCGCACGGACGATGAAAGATGAGAAATATCGCTACCAGATTAAGCGTCTTATCGCTTGACTCGAAAAGACGGAATCTCGTCAGATCCCGCAGATGAGACTGAATGGTACGTATATATATATATATATCTGGGTCTTCCTTTCTCTCTCATGCGCACACACACACACAATCTCTCTCCGTTCTCTTCCTTTCTCTTTTTTTCATTTATTTTTTTTTGCGATCGGATCGCGAATGTTGGAAAACGAGGGAAATACGTGACGTGAGGTCACCGCACCAAAGCAACTTCAATGCTCCTTCAAGCGACGCAAAGATTCAAAAAGAAACAAATAATGGCGAAAATCTAAAAGGCGTTTGAAAAATTTCAAAAAAAAAAACAAACAAACAAACATCGAACAACCAGAGATGTGCCTAGTTTCAAACATTATCCGTCAATCTGACGGATAATTATGTCAAACGTTTTTTTTGGAACGTTTGCGCCCAGCGCGGCGTGTCCGCTTCTCCGACGAGGGAGCTCACTAAATTTTACTCATTGCGCAGTTTCCAATGTGTGCGTGGCACATCTCAAGTTAATAAAATACACTACAAGACGACGTGCGTCTTTTGAGAGGGTACCAGTTACTCTTATTACACCCTTTTTTTTGTAACACGTTCGTTAAAGCCTCGTGATGAAAACAGAGCAAGCCCCGCCGAGAGAACTACGAGAGACAGAAGATAGGAAAGGAGAAAAAATACAATGGATCTCGCTATTCACAGTCGAATCTTATATTTAATAATTTTATCCTCAGATGCTCTGCAGCCAATGAAACGACTCCGTCTGAAAATAAACTTGAGACGAACTCAAATACAAGATCCGACTGTGAATACCGGTCACAGAAATGTCGACGTGTATGAAGTTACGACGCGATTTCAAACGGAGAGATCGTGTATTACCGCGTATTAAATAAATATAAAAACAAAAATACAATAAATAACTAAACGCTACAAGGGCAATGTTTTAGAGCAAAGTAGTTCATTGTCTAGAGCGCTAAAGGGGACCACACAAGCAGAAACTCTGCTCGTGGCGCGGATAGTCGCGAATGGCTTCTCGACAAGCTCATTGGGAGACGCCCGATTGTCGTAAGAAAAACGAATTGGTAAAAATTTCTTAAACGTTTACGAAAATAAAATGAATAAAATTAATTAATTAAAAAAAAAACAATATATAAATATTACACTGTAAAGTGTTACGCGATCGGGCTTGGCGAGACGGTTTGATCGAGCTGAGACGCGAAGTCGCAGGCGCTCGGCTGGAATATAATTTAATCGATAAGACTATCATTGGTGTGCAACGATTGCCTTCGTAGAAAGTTCTGTGCGAGAAAAACGACATTATCGTGTCGTCGCGTCGGTGAAGAGTCGAGCGCGAAGTCGGGTGATCACTTTGCACTTAGCCACTGATTTTCGATTTTCGATCTAAACGCTTTTCGACGCGGGAGAGGAGGAAGAGGAAGAAGAAGATGAAGATGAAGACTTAAAAGAAGAAGAAGAGGAAGAGACCGATCGCGCGGGCGACTTGCGCGACTTGCGAGCGTGTTTGGCGCTATGGCCTTTCTTGGCCTTCTTGCCCTTGAACTCACGTGCGTGTCTAGCGCCGGCGATGCTGGCGATGTCATCCACCTCGTCGTCCTCGTCATCGTCGTCGTCGTCCTCCTCGTCGTCATCGTCATCGTCATCGTCCTCTTCCGTGATGTCTACGTCTAAGTCGTCGTCGTCGTCATCGTCGTCGTCGTCGTCGTCGTCGTCATCGTCATCAGTTGTCGTGGCCGGTGCAGCAGCCGCGACGCCGCCGGGCGACACTGGCGTCCCGACGGCGTTGACTGCCACCGGATTCGAGACGGACTCGGCACCTTCAAGCGTCGACTCGTGCACATTGGACGCGGCCTGGCCTTCGTTAGAGACAACGTCGCTCGTGTCCTCGTCCTCGTAGCTCTCGGCGTCGTTGTCGGAGGTCACCTCAGCCGCAGCTGCAGCTTCCTCCGCGGCCGCCTCGGCGGCGGCTTGGTTCAGATCGGCCACCACGGCTAGCGGTAACTGCTGCGAAGCGATGGAGACCGGCGGAGGTGTTGCGGGCGCGACAGGTGCGACAGGTACCGGTGTGGCGACGGCGGCCGGAGCGGTGTCTTCCTCGTCATCATCGTCGTCATCTTCTCCTGTGGGCAGACGAATTTTGAAATAAATAACGGCGCATTTGAGAACACTTTTTGCCATATTATATCACCAGAAAAGAAAACAAAATTACGTAAGATGAGAGAAATTTCAAGGTAAATGAAATAACAAATCGATCTTGATAATTGAGATTATGAAACCTCGACGAGAAGTTTACGCGCGACGTTACATACATATATGCACTTTATATACATAACAATCTTTAACGTTCCGCGCGTTAAAAGACGGCCGGAGGATCGAGAACTCGCATTATCTTTCGGTATTCAGGCCAATGTGAAGAAGTAGCGCGTAGAAATTTTTTTCCGAACGAGGATCGCTGTCGATTTATGTTAATTTGGACGAGTTCAAGCACCTCGTACCGTTACCGCGCGTGTATGTGTGAGAAAGGAAAGGACGGAGAAACGGAGAGAAGAAAGGAGAAATAAATTCTTTGAACAACGCGCACGGAGAAAAAGATTCGCGTTTGCATAACGGTGTCAGTTCGCGCGATTCTCCATTGTTCGATTTTAGCGGGAAAGGAAATTGATACGGCAAAATACAAATCGAGAAGAGACGCTTGTCGCGTTCTTCGTTTTAACTTTCGCGAACGAAACAAGTTGCAAGTTGTTCGTTTTATTTTACGGATTTATATTTACAAGAAGAGACTTCGCGGTTTATCATTTTTTCCATTTTTAAGCTGTTACGTTTCTTCCTCGATGCCGCGGATGTGTTCGATCGTGCAAAAAAAAAAAATAAAATAAAATAAAATCGTTCGGTTAAAAATTCAAGTAATGAACTTCTCACCTCCGAGTATATCTTCGATGAAACGCTCCAAGTAATCACCCTCGTCGTCGTCGTCGTCGTCGTCATCCTCCTCGTCGTCGTCGTCGTCATCGTCGTCGTCACCGGTGATATCCAAGTCGACGTCGTCGTCATCGTCGTCGTCGTCGTCGTCGTCGTCGTCGGAACTGGCAACAGGAACTGCCGGCGCGGATGCCTGTCTGCCGGTTTCCAGGGCGTTGTGAGTTAATGTTTCACTATCGGCGATCTTGGGCACTGGCGAGGCGAGTACCTCTATTGCCAGACAGCACAGTAACGTCAGCACTGCCGCTAGTCTCATGGCTCTGCAACAGAGAAAAACAAAATGGAATTCTTGACCAGTCGAAAAACGTGTACGTAAATGCAAGACAATTTTCTGTCTTCTTTAAAAATAGCACAAATATGCCGAGGAATCCGTGGACAGAGAAGTGCAGTTGGTCGACTTCGCGTTACACTTTGAGGTCATCGAAATAAAGAAGAAAAAGGTGTTGACGGCAACGATCGACTTGTCTGTAAACGAACGGATAAATAAATAATCCGTTTTGTTGTAATCTCGAACAAATTACTTAGATGAGAAAGAGAATAGGAAATATTTGTTAACCGAGACGCATACATAGACATACCGATCGGCGATTAACCCGTTTGCCAGTTCTCGTAGGTATATCGCGCATTCTTGCGCGTACAACACACCTTCAGCTTTCGAAGCACGAATTCGCGAAATTGTCGTGTAGATGTGATTCACGAATCGCAAGAAAATTCAAATCCCGAACAAAAAGCGCGTTGCAAATGGAATAACAATCAGTTGAATAAAAATTTATTCACAAGCTGCGAGAGGTCACACCAAAGACACAAGTTGCTTCTACGCGCGCAAAAACAATTGTGAATTTTAATGATTACTGACAAAATTTGTATTTCTCACACAAGTGTTTCGTACGTAAAAGATTGTTCACACGTCGTCGAGAATGTTTTCCCGTTTATTTTTGTTCTCGTTACAATTGTTGAAACCTCCGACGCTGTTCTTTTCCTTCGTCCGACAAAGATCTGCTTAAAAATTCTTTTTCCGAAAGTAAGCGACAATTAATTTACTTTTACTTCACTCAATGAAATTAACAGAAAAATAAATAACGAGCTCTCCGAGGAGAGACAAGTTTATATAAATCAAGTTTCACACTGAAAACAATCTTTTTAAGACATCTCTTTTTTTTATAATTTTAGCGACGATTCGCTTGGTATCTTCGAGTGAAGGATGCAGCTCGTGTCACACATACGCACCTTCTGTTGAAAGAGGCGAGCAGAAAGAAGACTACTTTTAAGTTATACCCTCGCGAGCAACAGACGTTTGATAACATCAAACCCGGAAGTAAATCTTTGTGCGTGCGACGAGAGTCTTACATAGAGATTCAACCGAGGGAAACCAACTTGCACAGCAAAAACATGCGTACGTATCTCCGAATAAATCACACGCAGAGTGTATACCGGTTACTCCACTACAATTGTTGCACACAGTGTCACAATCAGGGTTCGGGGGGGGCGGGCGGGGAGAATCGTCGTCCCTTCGAGATTACTTGATCGGAAATGAACGAGGGAAGTGAACGACACGGAAGTCGAGGTTTGTTTTCGTAGATCCGGGGTGGCGGAAACTTGTTCTCCACTTTTTTTAATTTTTGGCAATCCGGGCGCGATAATCCTCTTTGGGCACTCACCTCTCTCTTCTCTTTCTATCTGTCTGTCTCTTTTTTTTTCGTTCTCTCTTAAACTCCTTATCTTCTCGGAGAGACGATCGATGACACACGTATGTAAGTTCCGTTTTCTTCACCGAGCGATCCACCGAACGATCCCGGTGAGAGTGTTGAAACAGACGAGGCGCCGCAACGCGATCCTTTTATACCAGCTCGCACCTCCACCTCCTTTCATGCTCCTTCGTCGTCCTCTTTCCCGTCGTGCTCTTTCTGCATTCGTCCGTACTGTACAAAATATCTATCCTCACCTACCTCCGCTTCTTGCTCTCCACGTGGTCTCCGCGCGTTTTCTCCCTTTCGTGCGTGCGTGCGTGCGTGCGTGCGTGCATTTTACACACTCGGATCCGTGAAACGGATATTTCGCATCCTGCATCCTGGTTTTTTTTTTGTTTAAGACGTAAATATATTCGCGCGGAATAACAACAATCGCGAATCCTCTCCGACCAGTCTAATCTCGCGTTTCTCTTTAATAATTTTTTTCTTTCTTTAATCTGCGTGGTATTTCTCTTTTTAATTACAATTTTTTTTTCGATCATTATTTCCGCGAGATAAATATACGTGTAAAAAGATTCGAGACTAGCTACTTTCGATTTTTTGCATTTTTTTTGGCTGTGTGGTTTTATTTTGATTTTTTGAATTCGAACACTTGAAATTGTTTGTTTACGCTTGATAAAAATAAGCGCATGAAGAGATATATGTATTTATTTATTAATTGCTCGTCACTGTCTTTCTCTCTTTCTTCAGAAACAGATCTGTGACAAGTGAAACGGACGTTAGACAATCATTATCACTCTCGTTCCCTCTGGTGAATCGTTTAATATCTCGTCTGATGACGGTGTTGGATGTACTACTTTTGCAATGAATATAATGCGGTTTACCCAGATCGATAGTGGCGGCTGTTTGGTTTTGAAGCGGCTAATTACACGTTGTGCTGCGTAATGCGAGTAATTGTGTGAGCAGAGAACATTATATCGGCCAATTGATCCATTATCCTGTCGTGCACATTTATTAAGAAATTTTTTCTTTTTTTTTTTTTTTTTNTTTGAGTGGCGGGTCTCTCTCTCCTTTCAGCGTCGTCACATTAACAATCTGGAAATGTAGGACTAGATATTACAGTGATTAGATACAATTTTCTGGATATATATAGTTAATTCACACGTGTATGTGGCCAATTTGTTTCAATATCACTTATGTCTGATTTCATCAGTTTGTTTTGCGGAAAGATGATAAATATGTTTGTTGTTAAAATTGACTTTATCGGAATTAATAATTTCGATAAAATTTATTTCGATTATATTTAAAAAAAAAGCGGGACCTGTGCAGAGAGAAATGAAGAGAGTGTTATATATATATATATTAATATTTTTTAAATATATATATATTAATATTTTAAATAACAAGATATTTCTTTTTTTTTACAGAACAAGTGCAATCTTACGTGACATCGTATTCGTCGAAACATCAACGATACGAAGAAGAGAATGATAGTAGGAAAGAATTTCTTTTTCTTTGAATATAATTAAAATCTTGAAAGAGAAATTAAAGCCAATGTGTATGTGTGTGTGTGTGCGCGCGCGACTAATAAATATTGAACGGACTCGAGAGTATAAAAAATATTGATTGATACGTCGTAATTATTAGAACAACACGTTAAAAGTCGATTGTAACATATGTTATATCAAATGATTATTAGATACCTCTTCTCTTTTTTTTTTTTTTTTTTTCATTCACGATGTAACATGATCTAGCCGGTGTTAAGTCAAGCCGGAGATAAAAATCACAGAAATGAAACGTTTGTCTCCTCGTCATAAGAACGAGGAGCGAAAGCAAGACACACGCGTTCGATGGTCGTCGGGCCGGCCGATCTAACTGTAAATACCGGACAACTTCCTTCTATGAGAATCGCATAGTAGCTACCGATAATACCGTCCAGCATCCGCCCCGTCTCTCTAACGCTCGGAGCGGCGACGACGCCCGGACGATTTTTGTTGTGTGCGATACATTCCAGTTTCTGGAACGATTTCACGCTTCGAGACTACTCCCGAGAGATAATCTTTGTAGATCTAACACACATGCTCGCACACGAAGTCCAGCACGTTATGGTCTATTGATCGAAAGAACTTCGACATCTCGAAGTTGTGTGCGACGATGTGCGAGACATCATCGGCGCGACTATGTTCGCTTTTTTTTTTTTTTTTTTGAAAGTTTCTGCGAGAGACTTTTCGAGGAGAAAGTAAGGGGGAAAAATATGACATACTCTCTTTGTGATGTTTGATTTTTATTTGCTGAAAATGTTAATTTGCTCTCAAAGACGAAAAAAACAAAAATGCGAAATAAATTTTATATTTGTTCGCGAGAAAGATTTATTCTCTGTAGGAGAGACATGCGGGAACGTTGTGTGCAAGATGGCAAACGTACGGAAAAAATATCTATTTGAATTTGAAAAAGAAAAAAAATTGGTTTACATCCAACGAACGAATTTGTGCGATAAACCGTTTGTTCTCTCTTGGTATTTCGCACATCCGCGTTGACCGCGTGAAAGAACCTTGTGGTCGGTGCAAATGTAAGTGCAAATATGTCAGATCCCACGTAGTGGATTAATTTGTGACAACAAACTGTTTTAGCGCTAGATTCATTGGAGATCTCGGCGATTAGAAATGAGAATAGAGACGAGATAATTAATGAATAGCCTCGGTGTACAGATGGTACAGTCGTAACGAAAAAGTTTAGAAATTGACTCGCAACTAATTGACGCGCGTGACCCACCGAGACGCGATTAATCCGATCGTGAGTTAATCGGACATCCATTACCGTTGATTCGGCAGATGCACACGTCAGTCGTGTGTAATCGCGTTTCTATTATCTCGCTTGACTTTTATAGATCCATATCTCACTTATCATCGAACAATAGAAATAGAACGCGCACTCTCTCTCGTTATCTATTAATGAACGTAATAAAGACGTTCCATGTGTGCGGTACAAAGCTTTTCGGCGCGACCTGGGACAAGTTGCAAAAAATTCCTGTGCTCGATCACAAAACCGGGGCTCTTCCACGCGGTCAATCCGCATTCTCTCCTGCGAAAACATTTAAACAAATTTCTCTCTCTCTCTATCTCTCTCGCAAAGAAATATTCAAATTCTTTCTGTCTGTTCGACAGCATTTTCGGCAAACAAAACTCAAAGTGACCAGATCTTCCGGGACCTCGTTTTTGATAGACGAAAAAACAAAAAAACCAGCGGGGCAAAAGCTGGTTACATTTACACGCGTAATTTGTTACCGCACGTTACAAAAAGGTAGTCGGAAAGAAAATCAGACCGGATAGATAAAGATCGCGTCGATTTGTGCGATCTCGTTCGCTCGATTTCCGTGAAATGTCCCGCGCCACTAGAAATCGACGACGGAACTTCACGCTTAGGCGAAAGCATGTCGCAAAAATTCAAATTTATCGTGAAATTCTGCGCTATCGAGAAACGAAATATTTCCAGACAGCAGTGCGGCGAGACAATCTGTGTGTATAAGATCCGGTGCGAATCGCTCGCTTGCGTGGATCATCGAGCTCGCCGCGTCGGAAGGGGGCTCGCTGACTCTCCATTCTGACCGGAATATGGGATTTGGTGTCACAACGAGGCGGGGAAGTAGTCCGCGGCTACGTGAATTAGTAATCAGGATGTGTGTCTTCGCGCGAGTAGCGAACGCATTTTCGTATACGCGCGCTCGGTAGTCGAGGAGAACGGAATAGGCGTGAGAAAGAGAGAAAGAAAGAGAGAAGGTGTTCAAACCGAAGAAACGAACGAAACGACGTTACAATAATATATGCGCCAGTGAGATCCACGCGCATTCTTTGCGGTATCCGTCGTGCTGCGGGAACGTCATTCATTATTCATTTGAATCGCGTGAGGGCAACGAATGGGACGAACAGCGCGTTCGAATCGCACTTGTCCTCAAATTCGCCGACCGGAAAAACGACACCGAGCAAGGACACAATAGCATACACTTCCGGATTATGCAACATTGGCGTTCACCAATTGTTATACAATATCGTTATCGAAATCATTATCACCGCATAAAAGCACACAGCGCGATTACAGATTCCTCAGAAAGATATTGATCTTCAGGTTGAAGTAAATGTCTTGTTTTTTTTTTTACAGAACCGAAAGAGCTTGGAACACGTGCGCACACGTGAGACACGTATCGGAGGGTTTTCAAACATAAAATACAATCCACTGTTTTTTGTTTTTATATAAAATTCAATATTTTATTTTATCAAAACCATACAAAGTTTTTCTTTTTTCTTTTTTAATCACGCGAAAACAATTTACATTCAAAACTTTCATCGACTCTTCGGTCAAGTTACAAATTTCAGTTCCGTTAGAAACCGAATGATCTTCACTCGCGAGGAATTTATTTATCCATCGAACTTCTTAATTTTAATTCACACACACTTTCCTGATATCAAGCGAATAAACAAGTAAAACTATTTGTTTTTACAAAGTTTATTTAAACAAGTTGTCTGCAGGTCACAAGCTTCTTAAAATATGCAATTCAAACGCATTACATCCATCTTAATACCATAGAATTTTGTTTACTTTGTAATTTTCTGTTCTTCTTTTATTTATACATTCTGTATGTGTACACGTGTTTTATGTGTGTGTGTGTGTGTATAGTGTATAGAAGGCTAAATAAGGCCTATATTGCTATCCACGTTTTCTCATCGATTTTTACGAGCGTTAGGAGAGAATTTATTTTTTCATTATTTGTATGACATCCTCATCGTGCATCACATGCTGCAGTCCTACTCTTTGAGGTGAATATTTAGTACTTGTGCCCTGAATAAAACAAATAATTCACATGTGATATCGGTAACAGTCTCTAACAGTCAACTAAATTATCTAAAGTGTAATGCGTATGCGTCGGTGCGCGTCATGAATGTTCGGTACTTACCCACACAAGAGCGTATTTGAATTGTTGAGCAAGCGTTCGATGAATCGCGTGACATACGTGTTCTACTGTCACCCCCTTCCTCAATATCAAACCTTGTACGAAGTCAGGTGGTTGTCCGGGCTTTTTTGTGTAAACCCTTATTAGAGATAAATATTCCCATAATATCTCCAGCAGGAAATCAAGATTCAACTTCATATTACAACTAACAAAGAGAGAACCACAGTTAGTATATAAATGGAAGACACCAAATCTTTTTGCCTGTGAGAAAAAGAGATTCACACATACTTTACAAAACGTATATATTCTTTTACCTAACTACAACACTGTTGGGTTGCCTAGCGATCCGGTCGACTTCTTCTATCGATATTTGATCTATTTTATTATATACATACAAACATGGTAAGTATACTCGGTTTGCGTTGATGACGTCAATCAATTCGTCCGCCCCGCAATCCTCACGAAAGAGCACCTCAGCATTGAAAATTTTATACTCGTGTAGAATCATTTGAACTAGTTTCTCATCTACTTTTGTCAAAGGACACGTAGAATTGAAAGCAACACCGCCGCCTTTCTTCACCTTGAAATATATGTTTGGCTTCTTCTTGTTGAGTCTAATCCCAACCGATTCCAATTCTCTTTCTAGGAGTTGTCGTTGGACGTCTTGCTTGGTTGCGTCCAACATCATGAGAACCAGATCAGCTGTTCGAGCAACCGATATGACTTGTCTACCTCGTCCTTTTCCCTAAAACGGTACATAGGTATCTTCAATATAGTAATATTTCAACACAACTATTGTGTACCAGTTTTCAACTTGTATTTTCAGTTTGTTCACCTGTGCTGCTCCTTCAATTATACCAGGCAGATCCAGCAATTGTATGCTAGCGCCTTTGTAGTCGATAACCCCGGGTATACATGTCAGAGTAGTGAACTCGTACGACGCAGCTTCCGACTCTGTAGCTGTCAAAGTGCTGAGTAAAGTAGATTTGCCAACTGATGGAAAACCAATTAATGCAACTCTCGCGTCTCCCGATTTCAGTACGTCAAAACCTTCACCCTTTTCCGACTTCTTTGACGGTTCCAAAAGCTGAGACCTGTACTTAGCGAGTTTAGCTTTCAACAGACCCAAATGATATTCGGTAGCTGCAATATTGAATTTTACAAATACAATGTGTCGCGATGTTAGATTTCAGTTTTTTTTTTTTTATTCAGAAGCACACGATGTGGAAGGCTAATTTAAATGGACAGGTTAAGAAACATGACGTTACGATTGCAACGTACTCACCTTTATTTTTCTGCGTTCGTGCAATTTCTTTCTCAATTTCCGAGATCTTCTCCAGTATCCCCATGGTGATACTTGAAAAAATTCTTTCACGATGGTCTCACATCGATTTGCGGGAATGTCGATAGACAGCTTTGTCCGGCGCGTGCTACAGTGACAGGGTTAACCGTGTAATCATCTGTTTTATTGCAAGTGGGTTCCACTTGGCAATTGCAACAATCTCGTGATCGCAGACCGGGTTTTGACAATGAAAATCGTAGATCTTACGGAAATAACCAGTCGTATTCGATAATTCGACTAATTGACCAATGCGCAATAGGTATTCCAACGGAATAAAAACTTTGCAACATATTAACAGAGAGAAGCCTGAGAGCGGCCAGGTCCATAAGAAAATGTGTAATCACTTTTCCGCCCTTTAAACTAGCGCATGTCCACGGGTGGTACACATTGGAACTACGCAGCCAGTCCACGAGCGACATGTCGGTGCACTATGTCCACAGCGTGCGGTTCTATTCTGTGCTATGTGCACGAGTTTAAATGGTCACTTTCTTTATGTAAAACTTCAATTGGCTAAACATTTACCAATTTATTTTAGCACAAAATGTTTACGGAGACTAATAGAGTGACTAATAAAGTTAAAAAAAGAGACTGATTGTGAGAATGGTTACTAACGTTTCAATTTATATGTTATATACGTAAGATTTTATCGAATTGAAATAATTAAAGGCTGAATTGTTACGTGCACATATTTTTTAAGTGCACATGTTTAAAGTGTATCGACAGCCAAGAAAAAATTCCCGGTAGTAACACAAATACGTAATTTTCTTTGTGTTATATATTTTGCAGGTGATAAAATGTATAGCTTTTCTATCTATAATTTGCTTTAAGTTTATAATTAGAATAATTTGTAAAAGATATTTGTTTAGGTTTTTATATATTAAGTTGTGTGTCATTTGTGTTATATTTGAAGTTATACTTGCAAAAGTTTAATCATTAATGGTAACATTTTATAGACACAAGGATATTTAATAAAAATAAAATAAATATATATGTAATATATATTTATCAAAAAGATATATAAAGTTTATGTATTTGTATATAAACTTCTGTTATAAATTGATACAGTATGTGTGCCCGGGACTCTCAAACAAATTAAAATAATGGAAACATTTTCAATATTATGTAATAATAACAGAATAATATAAAATCCTTGATGCTGGAAAACACATTGCAAACTCAATCTAATTTATTGTTCCTTTTTCTATTGTTTCTCAATATACAAAATATGATAATTACTTATACGTTTTATTGTTACGCATGTATAANTTATAAGTCATATCGCATATACATATAATTACGCATATATAATTTATAAGTTATATCGCATATATAATTCATAAATTTATATGCATCACAATTGATTACTTACATTATTATCATAACTGTTTATTTTTACATGTACGTTGTACATACATACATCTATTAATCCTTAATAATAAATAGTATGTTTTATATACATACGTATATTTATAATAAATTTACAAATTATTGTTTAAAGATTGACAAATTATTGAAAGAATGTAAGAGAATTAAGCAAGAGAGAAAGAAATAGCAAGAGAATTGAGCGGGTAAGGTGAGTTGCGCGTCGTCCGAGAGCCTCGAAAATATCAGGAAAGTATCAGGAATACATGTTGTGCGAAGAGGTAACGCGAGAGGTATCAGTGGGCGAGGCTACGCGTTCCCCCATCGCCTCCGCGCGCCGTGAGTCGCGCGGTGATTGGCTGAAACGCGAGCGCCTATAATGGCCGCTTGACCCCACCCCGCGTGCTCCGTAATGGCGCGCGGGGTGGAGTCAAGCGCGCTATATGTATACGAGAAGGTATACGCCCAGGAGCTGGCGCGTATACCTACTCGCTAGACATACTTCCCTGNTACCTTCGCTCGATTTCAGCTCGTTTTNNGCGTNCCATAGTTTCCAACGACCAAGACTATTGCGCGTAAATCTTGTGCTCTTGTTCGCTTGATTATTTATTAGCGTGTAAAATAAAATAAAGAGAGAAAGGCAGGTAATAAATAAATAAAAAAATAAACAAATAAAGAAAGAAAGAAATAAATAAATATAAATAACGGACGAAATATTATGTGCAAGTCTTTTATTTTCAATACTTATCGAATATTGTGTCGAATTTTGTGTAGATTTTTAATAATCGACGTAATGACTTATTATTATTATTATTTATTATTAAATCTAAAGGATTCAGAGAACAGTTTTCGTAACGTTGATCGCAAAGTTGCTCGTGCTCAGCTTGCGTCATCTCATTCGGAAGCTCCTCGCTTCTCGACGTGAAAGGTCTGCAATGCAAATTTAATTGTTTTACATTATTTGTTCGTTGATTGTAATTTATATCGACATCTCTCTTTATTTCTCTTTACATCAAAACTTTCAAATATACTTTTTATTACAATACTTACGTGAATATGATTTTGAGAATATCCCCAAGCACACCGTTTTCGCTTAAAGCATATTTTGCAGCTTGACAAATTACTTTCAACAAACAATCTTGTTCAGGATAGCCCAGACTGTTGTAAAACGCACCAATGTCATTATTTACGAGCGTATATTTTGAGCTTAACAATCACACGTGTAATTAGAAGTGAGGTTTCGAAATACATACGTGTTGGTAGAGAATATATTTACGTGTGTGTGGTTTTAATCACAGTTTTGTTATCTTTCCAGTTTGTTTGTGAACAAGCTGTATATCAGTTGACGACTGAGACTTCGTTTTTCGAAATAACTTCCGTCGTAATAGTAGTAAGTGGAATTCCATTCGCTTGGCAATCCGTAATTCGCCTCGAAATAAAACGACATCGATACAGATTTGTCGGGAATGTCTACGGGAATACTCGAGGCAAAGAATATCTATAAAAAATGATAGAGAATGACAAATTATTTGTTCTGTAGATATTATTTTCTACATATATATTTTTTTAAAGTAAGACAAAGAGAAAGTAATAAGTAAAGAATTTTTTTAACAACATAAACGCATAACGCATCTTCACATTACGACTACGCTATGAAATATTATATTTCATAAATTTCTAGAGATCAAGGGATATTTGCAAAAAAAAAATTAAGACTTGTGATCAAAAAAGTATATTTCATTGTATATACATAACAAATTACCATCTGTAACTATGTACAAATTATGTATTTTTTTTAATTACAAAATGTAACATTCTAAGTATTTGGCAGTAATTGTTAATAATTTAAAAGCTGTAGGAAAAGTCATTAAATTTTGAAGACATAATGATTTACAAGTCAATATTAATACGCAACTGTGTAACGTATCAATTACATTCTTCTAACAATACAGCAACGGAATATTTTTTTTTACATAGTACATGTCTGTATATAAGATACACTAAAAAAATAATTATTACTTTTTTTAAATCTAATATCGTGTACTTTGTTTCTATTAATAGATTACTTTCTGTTAAAACCTATTTTATGCAACAGAAGCTTCTGATGATAACAGTTATATCGTATATAAGATATCGTGGAAATATTGTTGAGAGTGCTGTACTGAATCTAAGAATGTAACAATCATAATGTTTTCGTCTCCAATATTATTTTCCTCAATTCACTGTGTATCATAGTGTTAGTCGTTAGTTCTACTGAGTATCATTTCGATCCAGTCATGATAGTAAGCTACATTGGTAAACAATATCGGATAGTAGGTTGATAGACGTACGTTTCCTCCGTTTGAGCTTAATGCAATTCCGACAGTTACGTTTTCATTATAAATCAAAGCACTGCCCACGTCGCTCTGAAAAACAAGAAAAAATATTTTCTATGTTAAAATAAACATGAAAAACCAATTCGCGTATACATAAACTGATCAGGTTTCTAAAGTAATGTTCAAAGAATTCATAAAATGATAAATTAATTTTTTGTCACCGTATCTGACAGTTTTTCATTCATTTGTTTACTTTATCGTTGTTATAATTAATATTTTTACACAATTTGAAATTTATTTTATAGTTTTCTTCATTTCATATGTGCTTGGTTTTACCAAGAGCTAACACTCTGTGTATAATATACACAATTTCATGCAGAGACAGAGTAAATTGGAAACACATGCGAGTTTAACTAGTTGTTATTGTTATTACTTACGGTGCGAAGTATCTCGTATCTGAGTGGATCATATGCGCAGATATGTGAGTCGGAAATTTGGAACTGAATTTGGTGGTACAAACTTTCGCAACTTTCCCACGTGACTATATAAGTATAAGATGCTCTCAACAAGAAGGATCCTGGTAGCCTGGTTTCCTATAAATGTGAAAGGACATGAAGTTACCTCATATTAAATGACGTAATAGTATATCGCTCATTTTACAAAATTGCTCTTTTCTTGTACTTACAGATATTATTCCATATCCGGAAAGTTTTAACAGTAAGGGTGTTTGTCTCAAATATTGGTCTACTCCTCTTTGAGGCAAAGAACTCGTACGACTCCAGGGTACAAAATTAGTCATAAGGTTGGCTGGGAGAATATACACCCCTAACTGAGAAAAGAAACAAAACAGTAACTATGAGTTAAAGAAATATTCGAAGAAAAAAAAAATTGTTTTAATTGCTCTACGAATAGTTTACTTTGACTAATGCGATGTCGTGACGCCACGGATACTGAACATTGTACAGATTGTGTATATATATTTTCGTAATCTTGCGTACATTGACAGTAAGATCATCCTTATCTAAATTCATAACGACAGTATATGCATTTACATCGTGAAAATGTCGGCTGTAATTACAGATATACATTATATTGACATACGTATTATAGTTTTCTTTTACACTGTTCGAACTATTCTCTTTTACAAATATCTATTTTGATTAAAAAGTCACACTTACTGTACGAAGCATTCAGCAGCGGTAAGAACGAAATTATTATTAATTAGAGTTCCGCCGCAGAAAAGCCTGCGAGTCTTCGAATTTTCAAAAAGAATCTGTAAGTCACAATCTCTTAAATTTGTGTTTGAAAATGGCTTTAAAATTAATTAATTATCTAATTGGTACTTCTTATCTAATACGAATATAAACTATTCAATTTCTGAATGTTAAAATTAAAACTCGTGCAAAATTTATAGAGATCTGCGACGCAAGATATTTTATTCCATTAGAAAGAAAAATTTAATTTTCTTTGGTTTACCCGAAACGGTGTTTGTCTGGCCTCTATCTTTGGTATTTCCAAATTCAAATCTCTGTAATAAGTGTTATGACATGGCGTCACGTCTGTTGAAAAAAAAGACGCGATGTGAAATTTAAATAAATAAAGTTCAAGCCGTGTCGAAGAATCTGTGGCTTGTATTACTAAATTAAGTTTAATATAAATGTTATCGAAACATTGTTCAATTCCACATTTCATTGAAGATTATATGGATATGTTTTATAATTTATATAATTTTACGTTTTTTGTGGATTATATTTATGGTTGTTTTGTTACAGTTTTTTTTTGTTTTTATATACTTACACAGAAAGATGAATGCAAGACCAAAATGAAGCAAAGCTGAAGAAACCATTTTGAGAGCAATAAGCACTGTCGAACAGAAAGCAAATTTTTATATTTTAAATGTGAAAAAAATGAACAATTTGCTACATTTCGCAAGTCTATAGAAAAAGTCTGGACAAAGCTTGTATGTATTTTATAGTTTCTATTATTTTTACTTCCTTATTGTTTTATAGAATGATAATGTATTTGTTTTGTCTTAACAGTAATGTGCTGTATCTTAATTGCGCACCTTCGGAATTTTCATTAATATACATACAACTCTTTTACCTTTTTGACGACGCAGTCTTCACAAAAGGATTTACTAAAAAGATAAAAACTAATGTTTTTCAGTTCTTTACTTCAGTTTGTCTTAAAATGTAACGCGCACAGTCTTTATTGAGGTCACAGGATACTTCAATATTTCACGTTTATCTCATGACGAGATGTAGTTATAGATCAAGCGAAGTATATACTTCGACGACCGATGTCCGACAACCGACGTGGTCGCGGTAAACGTCTTCTTAAGCAGGAGCAGATTTAGTTTTTCTGTCATTGTTTTCGATTCAACACGCCAATAGGAATCGACATACACGTTCGGAAACATGTGATGATAGCGTGTACGACCTGTACAAATAATAATAGCAAGGAAAAATAAGTTTGAAATATTCGTTTTCTGTTTTGTTCGGGTTTATACACACCAACCGAATGTTGATTTTAACAGAAATTGTGTTTTTATTATGTGCATCGTACATTATATATACAAAATATGAAATTATTTATAAATAATGGAAGAAATTTACCGTCTTTTTAAAATTATTGCGCGTTGTTCACCAAACAAATTAGGTGCGTTCAGAGAACTCAACGGTTGAGAGATCATCACTTATGATAGGATTCTATTCTTCAAAATCTGCAGCGGTTCCAAAAGTATAATCCAATCAGAAGTGATTATCTCTCAACCGTTGTGCAACTGTTGAGTTGTCTGAACGCACCCAATGGGTGCGTTCTAATGGGTGCGACTAATAAGTTCCATTTGGCACTCGCGACGAACGGGAGCGCAGGCTGCGTCCACATTGTCCAATCGCAAATGGTCACGTACGTCAAATCGACCAATGCGACATGAACGTTGTAAACCCGTTTAACATTAGGTCTGTTCTTTTTCCATACTTTGGCTACACTAGTTCACAGTCTATCTTTTTCTTTTTAATATAGATTGATTGGACACTTTGTCAGACTGGCGTTTAGAAACTAACCTTTCGTATAGGGTCTAATCGCATCAAACCAATTTAATTTTCATACGTGCCTCGATGATGAGTAACAATGTGTAAACTTGAGCTTATCGCCGGCAATGTTTTTACGTGACGTATAGGTCACATCAACATTTTTGCAAAATTTCAGTAATTTTTATGGCTCGCCGGTTAACATTTTCCTTATATTTTGTTATATAATTTAAGAAAATATGCTTGCGGGTCGTGCGATTTTATTGAACTTGTTATTGTTCGCATGTTCTGTCATCGGTAATAATCTTGAGGAAGAACATGGTGTTAAGTATGCGAATAAATGTGAAGGTGATTTTATTGTTTACTTTTGGAGAGCAATATATTTTTTGTCTAAATAACAATACATAGTGAATAACAAACTATATAGCGAATTTACAATATCACATAGTTAATTTATTACGAAAACATTGTTTTATTTCTTCCATAAATGTGAAACAAATACGAGATTACATTAAGTGAAGAATGTAACAATAATTTTACATTACAGTATGCAAAGTTCTAGCGGTGGAACTTGAAGCTAGATTAGACGAAACCGGAAAAACTCGTGATGTATTAGAGATTGGATATTCAGTAGACGATATTGCACCAAAGAAGAAGAAAGAGTATAGAAAATCGTAAGCAAATATTATTGTAAAACAATTATGTAATAATATATGGCACATGGTTATTCTAACTTGTGGAATGTTCTTTTTTCAGAGAATTACGTCTGTTAGAATCAATGGAAAATGTTTGTGAAAAGATATTGGAATACAACATACATAAAGAGCGTACAGATAGTACAAGATTTGCGAAAGGCATGAGTCAAACCTTCAGAACACTCCATAATCTTAAGTAAGATCTTACTGTAATATTACAATTGTCAAAATTGATATTAATATTTTCTGTAAATTAATTAATATACAATTGCAGAGATAAGGGAGTCAAAGTAGAATTGGGCATTCCATACGAACTTTGGGACAAACCGTCTGTGGAAATTACGACTCTAAAAACGCAGTGCGAAAATTTGTTGGAGAATCACGAAGGTGATATTGAAAACTGGTATCACAATCACCAGGGAAAAATTCCTTTAATTAGGTATCTATTCACATACATGCATGTATATGTGTGATGATTGTTTCAAGTATATCATTTACAAGATGAAAATAATTTTTGCTGTTTGAACTACAGATACTTGTGTTCAGAGCGTGCGTTGAAAGGAGAAAATGATTCTTGTCTGCACGAAAAAGGCGATACTGGAAATCTTGAAAAGAAGAAAAGAAAAAAGAAAACAGCAAGTGGTAAAGAAAATACAATAGATGAGTCACAGAATAAGGACGAGTTATAAAACTGAAACCTTCGTCGTTCAACAGACTTCTGTGTATGTACATATACATATTATTACAAACTTGAGATATATATATATAATGTGCCATGTTTATTATAGCAATGATATATTAACTTTATATATAATAAATTCTTTTTATATTTGTTTTTAGAAGACTCGCTTATAATTGTGTACATTTATATAAAACTGTTGTGATATTTTATCAAATATAAATAATCATTCCACAATAAAGTAACAAACATTCATAACACAGCTACAAAATAGAGCAAAGATGGAAGATTCAATAAGAAAACAAATGTTTAACTTATTTTTCTATTTAACTCTGATATAAATAAAACACATAATGCTCCATCTTTTTTGCTATGTGTGTTATTACATAGTTATGTAATAATATATTTGTTTGACTGAAGCAACATCCTCAAAGAAACATTGCATTGGCGTCCGAATACAAAGTAAGTCAGATTTGTTGTTCTCTATTCTTTATTTTGTTTATTTCTGAAGGGAGGTGGTATCCATTTCGTTTTACCACGCAGAGCTCTCAGACGATCGTATTCCTCTTTGAAATCTTGATGCTCGTCTCTGTACAATCCATAATTACGCAAATGTTTCATCAGTGTTTCCGTTTCCTTAAATCTCGGATAATATTCGACAATCTCAGGTCGTTTGTTTATCGGTTTCTCACTGAACAGTTTAACGACTTTCATCGATTTCAAATTAGTCGGTCTGACCACTTCCCCGAAGATTCGATTGCTCAGGCGATTCATACGCATTGCGTAATTAGTGCCTACTGTTGCCAATTCAACGTATTTGTTCTTACTCATTTTTTTTCTCCGAACTTGGCTAGATGGTGACAATTGTTTATGTTCCTTCCGAGACAAATCTGTAAGTAGGTTAGAAGTCAAATCTGCTCGTCGAAAACTAAAAATTCGAGACAACAATGCTCATGTTTGACAAATCTTAACAATGTTAAAAATAATTTACTTGTTAACTGTGCGTATTATATTACACACTATTTTTTTTTCACACAACATATACAAGCGAAATTCAAATCCTACTGCAATCAGATGACAAATGGTCACATATCTATGTGTATAGCAAGAATTTATCGAGACGCCAATGAAAATTGGCCAGCGGTGTAGAATTTTTGAACACCATCATCGGGTGCGTTCAGACAACAACGGTTGAGAGATCATCACTTATGATAGGACTATTCTTGAAAATCTGCTGCGGTTCCAAAAGTACGATCCAATCAGAAGTGATTATCTCTCAACCGTTGTGCAACTGCTGAGTTGTCTGAACACACCCATTAGGTGCGTTCAGACAAATCAACGGTTGAGAGATCATCACTTATGATAGGACTATTCTTGAAAATCTGCAGCGGTTCCAAAAGTACGATCCAATCAGAAGTGATTAGGTGCGTTCAGACAACTCAACAGTCGCACAACGGTTGAGAGATAATCACTTCTGATTGGATCGTACTTTTGGAACCGCAGCAGATTTTGAAGAATAGTCCTATCTTAAGTGATGATCTCTCAACCGTTGATTTGTCTGAACGCACCTAATGGGTGTGTTCAGACAACTCAGCAGTTGCACAACGGTTGAGAGATAATCACTTCTGATTGGATCGTACTTTTGGAACCGCAGCAGATTCTGAAGAATAGTCCTATCATAAGTGATGATTTCTCAACCGTTGAGTCGTCTGAACGCACCCATTATCTCTCAACCTATCTTGTGCAACTGTTGAGTTGTCTGAACGCACCCATCGATTTCTAGCTTCGTCGTGAACACAAGCCCTAAATAGATCGTTTAGCGAATAATCACTTAGATGGCGCGGCGCGCGGTCCACCTTACGTACGTTCGTAATTGCGCATTTTTCCCGCTACCGGAAATGGACGAGACGCGCGTGCGCCTGCTGGCTGCGCGCGCATCTCCGTGAGAGAAACAAGAGCGAATCACGGCGTTTATTTTGCGTAAATGCGAACGTGCCGACGAGATTTCGTCGCGAGATAGGGCTGAGAATTCATTTTTCGACATCGTCGATCGGATCGCCGGGCGAAAAACGCCCGAACATCCGATCTCGTGACGATCGGCCCTGGCGATGCCCTGCGCGCGTAAGTTCCTGCGGCGGGGTGGGCGAGGGGCCGCCATGACAGTCGTCGTATTTTCTGTTAACCGCGAGCACGTAGGTCCCGCCGGTGAAGTTTCTGTGAAATTGTCGCGGGGCCCGGAGTCCGGCGCGGCCAAGAACGGTCGTTCCACGTTTTGCCTCGGTCGGGCTGCCCGTCGCGGCTATTGAAAAGACGGTTAGAGAGGGCGCGTGGCCATTATCGGCGATTTGCTTGTGGGCACTTTTGGCGAGGTGAGACGTCGAGAGAGGCCGAAAAGAGCGCGGCTAGGCGGGGCGGTGTCGAAGAGAAGCAAGCTGCGCGGAGCCCCCTCCGTCGCTTTCCCTCCCTCCCTGCCTGTCCCCGCTCCTTCCCGTTCGTCGGGACGAGCGCGCGTCTCCCCGTATATGTACGTGTGTGCGTGCGGCAAAGGAGACGAGGAGGAGGCGGCCACGGAGCCGACGGACAACGAGATGCGAGAACCGCCGACGGCACCGCGCACCACGTGAGTTCTAATTTACCTGTTTCTACCTGTATTTCAACCCTCGGGAGTCGGAGTCGAGTCGCACTGCGCCGCGGCGCGCCGCTCTGCGCCATACCGCGCGTCCGTTTCCCCCTCGCCCCGAATCCGCGTAGCACGTCCATCTTGTTGGCTCCCTTGTCCCCGTTGCTCTCTGCATACATGAAAGAGCGAACGAACGAACGAACGAACGAGCGAGCAAGCAAGCAAGTGAGCGAGCGAGCGAGCGAGCGTGCCAGACGAGAATGACGCGATTGTCAACAAAGCATGGTGCTCGACGACGGGCACTTGGCGACGATACCGAGGCGACGACCACCGCGGATGCTGATGAATGGTCGCTCGCGCTCTGTTGGCACGCTCTCGTTCGTTCCTTCGTCGCGACTGTTTCGCGCCATCGAGGTTTTTCTCCCTCGTTTTCAAGTTTCGCGCTTTCAAACGCCGCGTAAATTTCTCTTCTCTTGATTAATTGTTTTTGTCTACGGACCTCGGTCGTCGCGCCGCGCTACGTAACGATCGTGAAAACGATCGAGCAAACGGTTTGCGCGACCGAAACGAACCGAGAGCTTTCGTCGCCGCGCCACATCGCGCATCGAGGATGACTCACCCTTTTCCCGCTCGCGAGCGAACAAGAGAGCCTTTGCGAGAGATTATTACCGCGCGAGGTTAAAACTTAAATCGTACGCGCTACGTTATTTATCTCGCTCGCATTGTCTTAATTATTATCATCGTCATCGTCGTCATCATTATGAGCAGCGCTTTCCTTGTGTTCTCAGAGCGCCTGCTCGCCTGTTGTTTACGCGCACTCGGGCGCGATTACGCACGAGTCATTTTGTCGCATTCGTGGCACGGCTGATTTTTCGAGGTTAAACGAGGACGATGGTGCGTTTCGCCAATCAGACGGCCCTCAATGGCGCAACAATCGTCGCATATTGTTGGTCGCGCGGTTCTACGGAAGACAAAGTCGCGAGTCGCGACATCCCATTCTCTCGCGTATGTTTGCGATTACGCGCGAACACATCGACAGTCGCGTTTTAAATATCTTATTCGATAATATGTGTGTGTGCGTACTCGCGATGTGATACGCGCAGTCGGGGATATTTTGCAAATCGATATTACACAACAACAAAAAAAAAAAAAAACTTTGCAAACTTGTTACAAATTTTATTGTAATTGTCACACAATCTGTGAGTAAAAGTAAGTTAGTTTAGTTTCTGTGTCAGATGTTTGACAATGTAACGAGAGATATTGTGTGACAAATAATTGTTGCAATATATTTTTTTTTTTTTTTTTGCAGGATGAGAAATGAAGTGTCAGACACAATTAACTGATATCCTTCAGTGAACGAAGATGAATAGTGAACAGCATGCATTGCCAGCGACCACGCAGGCACAACAAGAGGTGAGACACTTTCCAGTTGCGAAACAGGCTATATACCAAACTACAAATGCGCAAATAATAAATTACACAGATGTACTGTGCTGTTTCCATATCGAAATATTGATAACGAACTTTGTTAATTGTTACAAATTTATTTTTTGTTTTCAGTTTACTGTAAGAGATTTTTGTTCTGTTGTGATTAAATTCGTAATTTCAATTAAAATATACATGTATATATGTATAATTTAATACATACGTATAAAAGTGGTCAATATTGTTCTGAATTTATATCTGTGTGCAATATTATTACATTTGTATTAAATATTAATTATAGATCCTTATTTGTGTTCTCTATATCGCATATTATTTGGTAAAAAACATCACTTAGAGAGTTGTGTAGGTAATTTGTAGGTTTTAGTTTTAGAAATGCTTGTAGCACATATCATTTTATATGATGACGGCTTATGCTTGGACTTGTCTATTCTTGTAACTCTAACTTTGCTTATCTCTTGTTCTCAGTTTAGTATATAATATATATATCTTAACATAATGTTCTAACAAGTTGCATATGTCCGTATGTAAGCTTGAAAGCAGAAGTAGCCATTTACAAATTTAGTTTGTATGGCTTGACACAGGTGAATGTACAAAGCGTTTGTTTTTCTTAATGCACACACGCACACATTGTACACACGATACAGAAACATATACTTGTATCTGATAGCACAAGTCTTCACGAACGAATCCACAGTATCTTTCTTGGATGTACTACAGAGATCACACTAGAGAGAGAGAGAGAGAGAGAGAAAGAGAGAAAGAGTGTGAGAGAGAGAAGGAGAAAGAGAGAGAGGGAGGGAGAGAGAGACATATGAAAAGTGGCGCATTTGTTGATTGGATTTCAGCCTGGTGCATGCCGCTGCATGCCCTATCAATGTTGTACAAATGTTTGAATGTATATCGGTAGGATGTAAACGCGGGTCAAAGTGGTCGTCCTTCATACCCAGGTGGTTTGGCTACTGCGACCGCGAGTCTTGGCAATGTAGGGAGTATTCCCCATTCATCCGCGGACCTGCGTGTAGGTACTGCCGTAGCGTTAGCCTCCTCGGTAGCTAAGTATTGGGTCCTCACCAATCTGTTTCCCGGACCGCTACCTCAGGTCTCGGTCTACCACTCCTCGCATAGGAGTGGTGGAGGTGGGGAAGCATCTTCCTCCAAAGAGCCAGCCTCTTCACTCAACCAGGAAATGGCGTTGACTTCCAGCTCGCATCATCAGCAACAATCAACAGCCGCGCATCATCATCATCAGCCTTCAGTTAGCAGCAGCAGCCATCACAGTTCTCTGCAGTCAAATCCACAGGTTTGTTAATGCGTAGCGGCACGTGTTACTGTGTAATGACAATTTGAATGCTTTACAAAATACTCCGATTTTGGAGTAAAGTTACGCTTTTGCAGGAAAGCCGCGTTATTTTTCATGGTTATGCGTAGGCGGCACACAGCTGTAACGGCAAATAGACGAAAAGCATCGACACTTTTATTATATTTTTGTTTTTTTATAGTTTGATAAATTTATATTTTGTTTTATGTAATTTATTATCATTTTCTGGAGACGATTTTTTTTATAAAATTATCCTTTTTATTTATTACTTATGTTTTGCATAGGTGCAGATTAAATTTTGCGGATTGACGATTATGTATATTTAAAACAATTAGCGGGAAAAATTTATACAATTTTATTAAGAAAAAATTGACAATATTGTAACTTTGTATAAACTTTTTATTCGAAATTCTTGATTTTTAATCAAGCGTGACGAATCAGAAGATACATATATGTGTGTGTATGTGTGTGCGTGTGCATAAATATTATATATTTATGTACATTTATACATCTGTGTACAATTATGTATCTTTTATTTGACAGATTCCCGTATCTCTTCCCGGTTTGAATTTAGACGGCGCACACATACCGGCGAGTGTTAGTCATCTGCAGGCTGCACATGCACAAATGCAACAGCAAATGCAGGCGCAAGCACAGCAGCAGCTGCACCAGCAGCAACAACAACAACAGTCGCAGCAGCAGCAGCAACAGCAGTCTCATCACCAGATGCAAAATCATCAGAACGCTCAGAACAATGGACCGTCCGCGCACAATCAGACGGCACAGCGAGACGACAACAAAGTCAAGGACGAGGGCGGCAGTTGCACCACTGAGCGTTGTAGCGACAATCAGGTTCACTGTCAAGTTCAATGCGATCTACAGTTACAACCGCCGCAGGATCTTCAGCAGAGCTTGATGCAGCAACAGCAGCAGCAACAACAGCAGCAGCAGCAACAGCAACAACAGATCGGGGTCAACATCAGCGGAAATTCCACTACCGAAGGGGGAAGTCAAAACAATTCCGAAAAACCTGAGAAAGAAAAGGAATTGCGACAGCTGAATATGACCCAGTACGTGTGCAAACACGTCTAATTCTCAATTGTTGTTATCGATATGTTTTTGAGACAAATGAAAATAATATATATTTGCAGATTTCAAGTTCCTGATTTGAAACCAGGAGGACATATGATGGATGTGAGAACGGCGGACGGATCGGTGGTGAAAATCAGCGCGGGAAACGAGCAAGATTTGGCGAAGACTCTTGGTGTGGAAATGGTACAAAATATGTACAAGGTACGAAAAAGATATCGTTGCAGTCATTGCAAGTATGTTGGAATAACATATTGAGCATATTGAGAAAAATAATTTCGATAAATGTTTCCGTTCGACAGGTGAATGTCGAGGATATTAATCAACTCCTGGCGTATCACGAGGTGTTCGGAAAGCTGCAAAGTGAAATTGCAGCCGGTACGACTTTGGTCGGCAGCACTGTTCCTACGCAAACAGTCACCACGATACAGAACGGCACGCCGATCGTGCAGCAAGTTCAACTCAACAAATTTGACATAAAATCGAGCGACGGGGAGGCAACGCCTGGCCCAAGCGCGTCACCGGTGTCGGTTGGTAGTCACGCTTGCGAAATATGTGGGAAGATCTTCCAATTTCGTTATCAACTCATTGTGCATCGCAGATATCACACCGAGCGCAAACCGTTCACGTGTCAGGTACATAGATGTAATGAATTTTTTACGTACAAACTTGTGTCTCTGAAATTTTTTTGTATTAAACGACATGACAAACACAATCTCAGGTGTGTGGTAAAGCGTTCTCGAATTCGGGCGATCTGACGCGTCACGGCAAGTGTCACCTGGGTGGATCTATGTTCACCTGCACAGTTTGTTTCCATGTTTTCGCAAACGCGCCGTCACTGGAGCGTCACATGAAGAGACACTCCACCGACAAGCCGTATAACTGCACGGTCTGTGGCAAAAGCTTCGCGCGTAAGGAACATTTGGATAATCACACGAGATGCCACACCGGCGAGACACCGTATAGGTAAACTATTTGCTTATGTATCTCGCTCGAAAAAACGTATAACTGAGGTTGGTAATGGCGCTTTTTTTTTTTTACTTTTTGTCGAATGGTCGAAATTGTTGAGTTATGCTGTTTCTTCGACGATTTTCGTATTTTCTGTTGTACTTTAGAAAGAAGAAGAAATATCTTGATGCTGTTGTGTTGCAGATGCCAATACTGTTCCAAGACGTTTACTCGAAAAGAACACATGGTAAATCATGTTCGCAAACACACTGGCGAGACTCCGCATCGATGTGATATTTGCAAGAAGAGCTTCACTCGCAAAGAACACTTTATGAATCACGTAATGTGGCACACGGGAGAGACTCCGCATCATTGTCAAGCGTGTGGCAAAAAGTATACTCGCAAAGAACATCTCGCTAATCATATGCGTTCGCACACGAACGACACGCCGTTCCGTTGCGAAATATGCGGTGAGTGAAAAACAAATTCTGCCATTTTATTACGTCATTCTATTATTACTGTCCGCTCGAACGCGACAATATCTATTTGCCCGAATAATCTCGAGTACGAAAAAGAAACGTTTGTCAGCGTAAATTATCGGTAAAAACAAATTTCGATATTCTTAATGGGACGATTCCAGAAACTTAACAATTCCGCCTGCGTAACTTCTCGCGCGAGTAATTTATTTTTATTTTTATTTTTTTACAACACGCCAGTTCAATCATTTTTCGCAATGTGCACGAACTTTTGAACAATCGATTGAGTTTCTGAGCGAATTATTTCGTCGTAAAATTTCACAGCACGGCTGTGACAAACGTGTCGCAAAATATTAGTCGCTAGATATTTTATTACGAAGAGTTACCGCGAAGTCATCTCGCGGATTTACTGAGACACGTATTTGAAGCTTTGAGAAGGTAAGTAAAATATTTAATTATACATTCCAGTCGACGATACGTAACGCTCTATATCAACTCTTACTTTCTGTAATAATTAAAAAAAATGTAACTCACATGTATAAAAATTCTGATCACAGAATCGTATCTTGCGATCGATATTTATTTTTATCGCAGATATAAAGTGATCCGTAGTCTGTTCTCATTTTTAGAAGTACTTTTATTTTTACTTTTATACTTGAAAATATTTGACATTTATATGAAACATATATATTTCTACAGGATGAAGAGAATCAAGGAGTAAAAATAAAAAATAAAAAAAAAAATACTGAATTTTTAAAAAGTGAATTTATATATTACAGGTTTGGCGCGTAACGAAACTATTTAAATTTTATTCTACATTTTAATTTCATAGAAACGCAACGTATATTCTTGTCCTTTTAATTTTATGTTGCATTGTAGTACAAAACTTGCTACAGTGTGTATACTTCTCAGAGAACGCATTGTAAGCTTTAGACGCTTTGTTTGTAACTCGTTTTGCCCCTTCTCCCACGTATAATTTTTCCGCAAATTTATCCCCCGCATCAATGTGCTCGACCAAGGTCTTTATCGATAAAGAAACTTGCATTTAGAGAAGAGCACATATTGTTTATTCCCAGCCAAAGATCGAACGGGCTTTGCAATAAAAAAAAAAGAATAACTTGCAAAAAAGTCACAATTTCGTCGCGTCACGCATTTCTGCGCTTTGAGCGGAAACAGTCACAGAGCTTAGGCGCGATCGATGAGATTTGACAAATGTCTCTCACCTCTCTCTCTCTCTCTCTCTATCCACCCCTTCCCCTCTTTCTCTCATTCTTTCTTTCTCTCCCCTACCTATAAAATCAAGCGTGTGCATCGCGCGTCTCGTTCGGCAACGCGATGCGGTTCAAACGAGAGAGAGAGGAAAAAAAAGTTACGCCGAATGCAGTATGCGAGCGCGGCGACGGCAGCGGCGAGCCGCCGTTGCAGCCGCAACCGCGCCGGATATTCGCGGCGATGAAATAAAATTCGCGAGAATTGATCGCGCATCGCTAGCGACCGGCCCGCGCCACCCCTCTTTCCCTCGTCCGGTCGGCTCTCTCGCGGAGCGCGGTCGTGCGCATTCCTTCGCGGAGGCGAAGAGAGAGAGAGAGAGAGAGAGACAGCGAAGAGACGCCCCTCTGATGTTAGAGAATCGTGTCGGTGCGCTTGCCCTCGTCCGCTCGCACCCCTCCTAACCCGCCCTCCTACGACGGGGAACCCCTTTCTTCCTTCTTCAGTCCTCGGGAATCGCGCGAACCACCACAGCCGCCGGCCGGCTCTCTCTCTCTCGTTTCAAAAGGAGATCTTTTTATTTTTCACCTAACGTCTGGTCGTGAACTGTGATGGCATGACTTGCTATTTCGTAAATTTGAGCGGTTTGTATAATAACACGAATCGCCGATTACATTATCCTGTCGCTCTCGCATGTTCTTTCTTGCATGCCGCACTCCCCGGCCCTCCTCACTCCCCGAATACATCGTGTTTTAACGTGCCATTTTATATCTGATATGTCGGAATTAATTTCCACGACGCCAGGGTGGCTTTCTTTTGCCTCTGGTCGTCGTCTCGCTTGACAGAGATTGTTAAACTTTCGCTGCAAAACACCCCCACGATATTTCCTTCTGCGAAGTGAGAATAAAACACGATTTTATCGTTGTCGTGAGAATTCAATTTTGTTGATTTTATCTGACGATAAGAGCGCAGTAACGATTGAACAGTTTTTCTGCTGTTTAACCATCACTGTTTCAAAAGTTCAGTTTTTTTTTTTTTTATTCGCGTTCCAAATTTCATTCACAATATAATTCTTTTCATTTTGTTCGCTCTCTCAGTTAGCACGAGTTTTTGTTGAGAGACGCAAATCGGATATTTCCGTTACAACGTGTGTGTTCTAGCGTGTAAAAATTGTGTCAGTCGCGAGAAAGAGCAATTAGTTGCAAACGTGACGTAAATGCATTTTCAGCGAGCGCACTGTGCGTCGGGTGAGGCGGAAAATCGCGTCGCTCAAATTCAAAATTTGTAATTTCGTTCTACAACTGAATTACAAGCATGCGCGCCAACATCTACACATGTCACGTGACACGTGTATACATACAAGCGCACGTTGACCGCGTCAACTTTGTTATCAGACAGTGACAAAAAAACTCTCCTGCGACCTTATTCGATTTTCTTTGTGACATATTTTTGGGACATTTAAAAAGAAAGAAACATTTTATATTGACAAACTGTCTAACGCAACAATTTCAAAAAATTACGTAAGAACGCAAAATTGCTGATCTTTTCGCATATCACTGTCGCAACTTAATTGTATTTTAATTTCACGTAATTTTACATCTGTGTCTAAATTTGTCTTGTGACTTCTTTATGCGCAGGACGAACGAAGCGTATCTTCGCTCACCCACTGATTTAAACGAACTGCAGTTATCCGAGATCATGTTCAAAAGTATATTTATTTATTTAAAAATGTGTTTCTTTATACAAATGTTTTTATTGCGTGTATTTCTGAACCCTACTCTCCGGGATCATGGAATCGTCCCATGCGCGCGTGATCTGTACGCGCACTTATACGCGCAAAATTCCCACTTACTCGTCCGACATGTATGTGTTTGCCAATCTAACGTGAAAATGTGCCTGTTCTCGGTTTTTCTGTTTGCCGCCGCTGTACCACAGGTAAGTCATTTACGAGGAAGGAGCACTTCACGAACCACATAATGTGGCACACGGGCGAGACGCCGCACCGCTGCGACTTCTGCTCGAAGACGTTCACGCGAAAGGAGCATCTCCTGAACCACGTTCGCCAGCACACGGGTGAGTCTCCACACCGATGCGGCTTCTGCTCCAAATCGTTCACCAGAAAGGAACACCTTGTTAACCACATCCGCCAACACACAGGTGAGAGCGGTTGGCAGATGTTCACTTCACGGGCAACCGATATTTCTAATCGTTTATATTTCTATTAAGAGTAGTTTATATATTTTCGTGGTCTGTTTGTATATTGTTAATTTTACAGCAAGAGAGAAAATACGATCAGTCCTTTATTTCTGTTTTTGTTTTATTTATTTATTTTTTTTTTTTATTCTCATAGAAGTAAGAAATCAATAGGAAGAGAGAGTTTTATCTCGCTAATCTTATTAAATAAACATTCATATACACAAGTGCATTTTATGTAAGTGATTTGATTTGAACGCGAGTCGAGACAAGCATCTCTTCACACGCTTCCGGTGTCATACATACATTTCAATCTGGCTTACATTACAGACTGTTTCACTTCTACTTGGATTCACTTGGCTCGTCATATTAGTCTTTTCAGTCGCTCGCAACATACACTATCGTGCGTCTCAACATTTTAATTGTCTCTCTGCTCGTAAGAGACCTGTAACAAATCGAACAATTGATTCGCTTAGAAGTGGAACACTCTGTGTACTCTGTGACGTAATTTAGTTAAAAATCAGATTTCTGCATGAGAATCGAGCTTTGTTTACACAAGGATCGTCTAGTTTCGTTATAAAAAAAAAAAAAAAAAAATTTTATTCAGTCGCTCTCATCGTATCGGTGTCCTTTCACATCATTCGCGCGCTTCAACTCGAGATCCACACCCTCGATCATTACACAAACAACTTCCCCAACCACCGTTGAATCCCTTCTAGGAACATTTGTTCTGCCTAATACACCGCTCTCATAACATACCTTTTGATTAACAGTATTTCAGCATTCCTCGCATTTATTAAATGTTATCATCATTTGCATTTTTTTTTTTTTTTTTTTTTCGAAAAATGACAAGTCGACTTTTCACTAGCTTGAGAGACTTGTAAATGAAAAATTCAGTCACACGTTCATTTTCATCTCATTTGTCGTAGATGGCACAAGTCTCGAGCTCCGTTTAGTTTAACGCTAAAATAATCGAATCAATTAGATACAAGATTTGAGAAAACAATTACGTTGTTTTGATTATTTAATGATCGAATAGAAAATTTTGTGCTTAAAGTAATTTTTGTAGTGTGATAGTATTTATTTCGATATTTGTGACATACACAACGTTAGACAACTTGCGATATATTACACGTAAAGAGTATATCAGGATATATATATATATTATGTATAATTTATTACTGTACAAAGCTGACTTTTCCCTTCGATGTAACGTAAGAACACGGCAATATCGAATGTGTCTGCAAAAGTAAGTTTCAGCGCAATTTATTCAATATCATTATCTCTGAAATAAAAATGAATCAATAATTAAGTAATTTATAAGAAATCAAATTTGTGATAATTAAAATAAGTATTAAACTCAAGTTTTCAATACACTTCCCTAAAGAACGAATGAGACCAATCGACACACATAGTTTGTTACATTTGATAGTCATTCGGTTTTTACACAATGAAAATTTTAAATTGCATTGTTTTTCAGAAAGTATTGAAATTTTGTCTCGAAGTTTGTTCGATATTGTCGTATTTTTTTGTTTTCCTCGCGCGTTACATCAAGCAAAACTCGCCTTGTGCAGGATAACTCCGACTAAGTTCTGAATGACAGAAACGTGTTTTGTTTCTTCAAATAAATTGCAAAATTTCGTTTGTAAAATGTGTACAGGAGAAACACCCTTCCGCTGCTCGTATTGTCCAAAAGCATTTACGCGGAAGGATCACCTGGTGAACCACGTCAGGCAGCACACGGGTGAGTCACCGCACAAGTGCCAGTATTGCACCAAATCCTTCACGCGGAAGGAACATTTGACCAATCACGTGCGTCAACACACAGGCGAATCGCCACACCGATGTCACTTCTGCTCCAAGTCATTTACTCGTAAGGAGCATTTGACGAATCATGTGCGCATCCACACTGGCGAATCTCCACATAGGTGTGAGTTTTGCCAGAGGACGTTCACTAGGAAAGAACATCTAAATAATCATCTCCGTCAACATACCGGAGATTCCTCGCACTGTTGCAACGTGTGCTCCAAACCGTTCACAAGGAAGGTACGTTGGCAAAAAATTCGTAAAATCATTGTTTCATTGCGACAAGATCTTAAGTAGTTGGCAGAATTTGTAGTAGTTGACTAAAAAAAATTTTTAATTTTTTAGTCTATTAAAGAACTAAAAACAAAGTAACAATTTAAAAGCTCGTGAAAATTTGCAACTAAATATTGATAAAAATTCTTATCACATTTAAATCGAAAATTTACGTGCTTGGTTTGCATTTTATATATATGAAATACTTAATTTCCAATCTACTTCTCTATGAAACTTAAAAAATCTATTGCAAAAGGCACCTTGGCCAGATTTCCCGCACACACCTTTCCACCAAGAACGCCTTTCCAATTCGGTCACCAAGACACTAAAAAAAGTAACTTTAATTTCAAACAAAAATAATTTTGCTGTTAAAAGTTTAACTACAAATACTCTTTTCATTTGTTTAAATCGCAAAATGCAATAGTTTTTTCATATCTCTTGATTTTCTGTTACAGGAACATCTTGTGAATCATATGCGTTGCCACACCGGTGAACGTCCATTTGTGTGCACAGAATGTGGAAAGAGTTTCCCATTAAAGGGCAATCTGCTCTTCCATATGCGCTCACACAATAAGGGCAGTAACGCTGAAAGGCCGTTCCGCTGTGACCTGTGCCCCAAAGATTTCATGTGCAAAGGACACTTAGTCTCGCATCGGCGTTCGCACTCGGACGAGCGGCCGCATAGTTGCCCGGATTGCGGCAAGACCTTCGTCGAGAAAGGCAACATGCTGCGGCACTTGCGCAAGCATGCGACCGAAGGACCGCCGACGCAAGTTAGTACACCGTCGGCCATACCGCAATCGAGTGTTCTACCGATACCGGCGGCGGCGGCAGTCCTGGTCGGACATCCATTAGCGCCTCCAGCACCTACCGTCGTGCCGCAACACACAGTGGTCGTGCCGACACCGCCCGGTGTACTGGCGTCGTATTAAATAAAAGAAAAAGAGAACGAGGGAAAAAAACGGGAATACAATTTTCAAGCTGAAATCAAGTAAGAAAAAAAAGAAGATGCTGTGTATACTTAATGATTGTGCCGAACAAGTGTGAAGAGATTGTGCGTCATCTATCGTTTTTCTTAAAAAAAAAAAAAAAANNAAAAANNANTT